TCCCCAGAAACGTAGACATTAATTTAAACCCCGACTGTCAGTATTATTAAACCGTCTACCTACAACAGAGTTGCTTTTTTCACCCATCTCTGTTGATATTTAAAAGTGGAACCTCCACTACACAAGCATGACTTATAAATTAAAAGGAACTTGAGAGTATTACGAGGAAACATTCTGTAAACTGAAACTGTAAAGCTTCACTTTGGAAAATAGGCGAGACGTGATGCTGGTATAAAATTGTACCACGGATAACAGCTTTATTCTCCAAAGGAAAGTTGTCTGAACACCTACATTGTTGGCTCAAACAGACGACGGGGGTAAATTTAAAATTCGACAGTACTTTACTATATAAGGAGAGAACGCCTGCCAGGAAAGGGTCCAAGACTGATGTGTAATCGGCAGGCCATCACTGTAACCTCTAACTCTTATTCTAAATAAATTGAGTTGGATTGTAAATGGATCATACAATACAACTCATTTAAAAACAGTACATTAGCTATACTTCAATACTTCGAAACCGTTTCAAAAACAAACATTTTCCATCCTTATTTAAAATAAACTCCAGACGGCGCAATTATTTTAAGTTAAACACGGCGGATTAATTATGCTGTGCATGATTTTTCTTCCAGTTGAAATCCTAAATTAAAACAGGGAGTGTCATTTTCTACATATAACAACCAGGTTGCCGTGTCTAAAAAGAATGGGTCTATACTTAAAATGCTCTTGCTCACGACTCAGACAGACATGTTCTTCTAATGACTTAGAGTGAAATCCGTTGCTTTTACTAAATTGATTTTTCAGGTATGCAATTAACACCAATGGATTTATTTAAAATGGGTCAAAGGGCATTTCACTGTAAACGTGTACCATGAGATTTCTGTTTGATGCAACGGTGCAGCAATAAATTAACCCGTGTCTCGCAGCAGCCTAATTGTACAAAGTCGAATTTGCACAAACAACACGTACTGTACATGGAGCAGTTTTAATAAGTTAAACCATTCAGGGGAACCCAGATTTTATCGACACTTAATCGCAGAAGGCAGCTGCATCGAGATTTGAATTAATTTGGAGCGAGATAAGTAAAAGCTACTGCATGTGCCCGATAAATCACACTCAGTACCACAGGTGCAGCGGGTTTGATAAGAGAGAGCCCGACCTCCTAACACCAGTCCGAGATGCGCTGCTTTATGATACTCTAAGCAGCCAGGCAGTTATTGTAAGATATTACAGTACGCGGAAATGTTACAAAAGCACGTCATTCCTAGAGCAACCCTAATGTTTCCGTTCAGATAAACAATGCTACAATGTGTTAATAGCAATATCAATATTTTGATGCACCTCACATTGTCACAAAACATCTGTACAGAAGTAGAAGTCGCGTTCAGGATACTTCCTTATCTTGCCGAATCGTAACTCTCAGTCTACAAACTAAAGATGTGTTTATCATGAATTAATTTCTTCTTCGGCGAGTATGCCCCTTGGAAAATTCATTTAAATGTACTACAATGTTAGTCCTTCTCATGCAGGAGGCACAAATCTATGTAGTTCCTGTGTCTTTAAGCATGGAAAACGGCACGGCTATTATTTTAAAATGGTCTAAAATAAAGGGCTACATGCTAGCGTTGTCTCTGTACAGCATCGTTTGCGAAACCGTGCTTACTAACTAAAACGTTCATACATTTTTTTTAATATGACTTTATACAAAAAACAGGGGGCAATGCTTCATTCTCTATACAAGTTTTATTTCTGATGTGTCCTACAACTAACTGGTGCTAAAGACGTTCAGTTGCGGTAACTAAAATCAAGGGATAAACGAAACAAAAAGTTTAACAATGAACAGTACCCCCCTTAAAACACTCACAGACACTTATTGACACTTTCCATGCATTCCCAATGAAATCTCCACAAGCAGGTAGAAATAGACTGCTAGCACAGTAACGGGGTACCTAAATTTGCAGCTACTTCAAATAGAAGCTTTTTTTTATCTAGCAAACCCAAGTCGTCGAGTCTAGCTTCAGTGTTGACCTAAACGCACAAGTTTGCGGTTACTTTACACAGGTTCACGTACCTTAAATCCCTTGCCTGGAGCGCATCGGCATTTCCAAGCGATCCTCCAAAATTCCAAGAAAAGCCCGTTTAAAAATTCCCGATTTAAATACCTTGCTTTCTTGCAAGAGTGCTTTCAGTTCTCCACTCAATCTGTTCTGCAATTGATTCAACGAACCTGCTTTATTCTGCGCCCATCGATTCCACCGGTTATCGACGCACTTGTGTGGGCAAACAGCAGCTGTTGCCTGCTCACACTCTCAGCCAATGGCTTCGGGAGCGTTTGGAAATGCTCTTAAATCTAAAAAAAATCGAAGCAAATCTGCGTGTTCGCTACAACCCCTAGTGTTTGTTAAATCCATCGGGCAGTAAAAAATAACAACAACTCGTGAGTACAGAAACCTCTGTAATATCCACTTTACAGTTGATGTTATTCCAACAGCCCTTAGCACAAATTCACAATTCGCATCTCTGAACAAGTAGTGTCCCAATTAACTGATTTACTTTGCAAAGTACCTTTTTCTTATTATATATAAAACTATCACAGATTCACATGGTAGCAAATTTTCAGGCTGGCATATTCTACCTGAATACACAATATTCCATCTGTGTATCTGAGAGACATCTAAATGTCACCCTAATGGATATTAAAGCTTAGGAAATTGCTGAGTTTGACACTGAAAACAAACAAATCAGAATTAAGCTACCCGGAGGCTGTTTAACATTGGGGGCGGGAGGAATCAATTAATAACTTAATCAACTTAAAAAAGGCAATTGTTGTGAGACGCAGGGAAGTGGATTGATTACAAAACAAAAGTTATAATGTTGTTGTTTTTTTCTGGAAAACAATACGAAACATAAAACAAATAAGTAAAAACAGCTATGTAGCTATATCATAGCTTTGTACTCTGTAACCAGATCTCATCAGCTATGAGAGGGTACTCAAGACTGTGTCTGCTCAGTACTGGGATGGAAGACCTCTACTGGAAACCAGGTTACTGCTGTAAGTGGTGTGAAGACAGGCAGGTAGTGTCATTCACTCTGACCACAATTTCCAACCCAATGCCTCAGTATAGTGGCTGGGTACACTATCCTGTATTGAGGGCCTTCCTTCTGATTAGACATTAAATCAAGGCCCTGATTATCAGGTCATTAAAGATCCCACGGCCCTGTTCTTTAGAGTCCTGGCAAAATGCCACTGTTCCACTTTGCTTGTGTAATCTGTCAATTCCCCCCTTCCTTCCACTGGTGAAATAGTTTCTCACCTCTCCAGCTTCTCCAGGTTGCGCAGTGGAGCTGCTGGCACAGAACGGTTCCCTTGTGTCACCCAGGCAGTGGCTGCACTTCGGCAGAGGATGAAGTGGGTTTCCTCAATGCGAGAAATTACCTTCATATTATTCTTAAAAATCTACAGTGTCAATGGGCTGCTTTCACAGTTTTGGTTCTCTATAAAGAAAGCAGTTATCACCAATGAAGAAGTGGCTAGACAGTGTTGTCAAACTAGACCTTGTGCTTAACCCAGTGCATCGGTTCTGCATAAGTATATACTATGGAAAAATATTCCATTGAGTCTGGAAAGGGAAGAAAATCAGGGAGCAATTCTCAGAATGAATCCAGAAATATTCGGATTCTTTAGGATTCAGGCAGGCATTGTTGAACACTAAGGCATAGATTCGTTTTTTTTTCTTTCGGGTATAAAATTATTCAGAGATGCAATGCTGTTTTATGTTTAAATCTCAGTAGATATCAAAACATGACCCCTGCAGTCGTAGCTGTATATTGTAAAACTGCAAAGTAATTGGAACAGGCTAGCAAAACCTAAACTGCTTATCTAGCAATCTGATCATCTTAAAAAAGCTTGCCGATTGTCCTAAAATATACAGAAATGCGAGATCTATAATTTAGGATTTATAAAAGCAGATTTCGGAAGATCATCTGAAAAATCGTTTCTAAAAATGACATCTCTGCAAATAGTTAAGAGAGCTCCTGGGGTTACCAGTCTTAAATCTGATATCAGAACAAATCCTGTTTGGCAACCACTGAATATCAGTAAGACGAGAAAGGAAATTTCGGTAAAAATGCCTTTGTAGCACATGATTCTTCATAATGACCCTGATGCCTGCGGTGCTTGCGGCGGACATTTAAAAATAGCGACAGCTGCCATCGTGCTTAAGCATGAATATACCGGATGGTTTACGTTTTAGTAAGGGGTCCTTCAAACATAACATAGGAAATCACTCATTCTTCTTTGAATAATACCTCTTGTTTTGACCTCCACACTACAGTGCAGGCTTCTAGTCTGAGCTTTTTGTAGCGGTGTAAAACGTTTCAGTCCTGGATGGTAATATGACACCTGTACTTACTGTATGTCTTAAAATACAAAGAAATAAATCGACTGTAACGTTGGTTAGCATTGTTTCATACAATGTTTTAGACCGATCTATACTTGTTGTGAACTCCGGCAATAACATTTAGTAACCTTTACAATGTTTCTGAATGAAAACAGACATATAGTTCGTTCCTAAGTGGAAAGGGGCAATAATTAGTTTCGGAACAGGTAAAACAAAATAAAAATCAAACAATCTATTAAATAAATTGTGCTTAAAGAATCATAATGGGAATGACTTTTCTCTGTGTAGAAAAGCCTTATACTCCTCACTTCATCGTAATGGATAAAATAACGGAGGATTTGCTGTCATGCAGTTGTGCGTTTAATAACGTTTTAATAATGTTAAAATTAAATAAAATATAATTTAAATATTTTAATCATAGATTTAAAAAAAAAAATAAAAACCGACCTTGTGTTTAAACTTTTAGGTACATGTCAGGAAGGATATCATTTAAAGCGACCCTTCGAACAGAACTGTTTTTCGTAAATGTGAATTGGATCAATAAGGGATTGACGAAAACTGAACAACCTGTCTCTTTAAAGGAATAAAGCGCACGGGAAGAAGAGAGCGGTTTGGCCCGGAAATAAACCTTGAACGCGGAAGTGTCATCTTTGTCGGTGGGTTGCAGTGTTTTGTTTTGAAATCTTCTGGAGAAAGTGACAGAACCGATACCATGTCGACACCGTACAAGGAAAAACTAGTCCGGCTTTTTCAGCAGTACCAGGACTACGTTACCAAGAACCCAGCAGCCACGGCCCAGCTGGAGAGCGGAGTAAGAACACTGTCTTACCTCATCGCAGGTATCAACTGCAACTGAAACTACTTTTTTGAGAAAAAAAATGCAAGATGGAAAAAATACTGTATTGCGGTTTTTCTGGTACTTTAGTGGGGTTTATTTAATTATTAAATATGCCTTGACACAGAGCTTCTTTTTAATTTTGTAGCTCATTGAGTCACGTTGAGTTAAGACATTGCACCTGATAGTGATAAACTGAGCTTTCTGTCAATCTATGCAGCAGAATGCCTTTAACGAACATTTTGTATTGCTAACTAGTTTTCTAAACTGTTTAACGTCATTGCAACCTTGGCAGCGCTGCGTGACAACTGATTTTCTGAAATCAGAAAATGAAGTGTGTTCTTGCTTTCTTAAAATCATTTTAAAGACCATGACCCATGAAGCCCAGCGCAGGTAGCTTGATTGAAGTACTTCTTTATCACTACTACAAGTCACGATACTCTGTTCTCGCTCTTGTGACACAAGCAAGCCAGTGAGTGTGCTGATCAGTGGGTAGAAGTTAACGCTTTCTGAACTCCTTGGGTGCCCAGAACCATGCAAGGCACTATGTTAAAAAAAATAAATCTGTGCGTTAATTAAATGCGTTCACGTTGAACCTCTCACTTCAATCCAATTCTTGTTTTTCAGGCCGGTTTGCAGATTCTCATGAGCTCTCGGAACTGGGTAAGCGTGACAACAGAAAAAGATGTATTGGTTCCTGCACAGATACGTTTCTGAAGCAATGTGTTTAAGGGCAAAATTGTATAAATGGTGTACTGAAGACACCTGACTGTTAGTTACTGATGTTGGGAAATAGGTATTATCTGTTGTTTTATGCTCATTGTAAAATCTCACGTCCAAATCTGGCCACAGTTATTCTCACGTCTTGTACATACAGGTATGTGGTTTCTTATTCTTTAATGAGTGTGAACACGGTTCATAAATACTTTGTAATACATAAATACCAGTGGGTTTGCATTGTTAAATGAGCTTCTTGTGTGCCTACAAGTTGTGTATGACTTCAGTAGGACAACAGTACTTTGCTATAAGCATAAAAAATACTCTACACAGTTCCAGCAGTATTAAAAACTGAACAGGGCTGAAAATGAGCTGAGTAAATTCTGTGTAAAATTGGGTGTGTTGGTGGTATTGTTCCATTCTTTTCCAAGATGTGAAGGAGATTGTTTTAAATGTATGCATGTAGCTAGTTTCAGAATCATTTTCAGTTTATCACGTCTTATCATTTGCTGTGAGGTTGTTTTGAAAGGATGTCTGGTAAAAGCCTTGTTTTTGATCCTACAGTGTACTCCGCTTCTAACCTGCTAGTGCTGCTGAATGATGGAATACTTCGTAGGGGCCTTACTCGAACTCTTCCCGTGGTGAGTATATTACTTTTGAAATTTTATTGCATTACCAAATCTTATACCCAAGACCTTTTACCTGTAACAGTAATTAATAAATATTAGCAATATACTGTAATGATTTATGTGCATACGGTATATGTAGTTCACACGTCCAAATATGTATCTCCTGTATCTGCTCTGCTGCAGAAATCACTTACTGACACAAACTGCAGTAACACTTTACTGAATGTCATGAATATTCTAGCTCATAAGTTACATAAGCTACACACTACTTAAAGGTTAGCTGTCTTTCACACCCACATAATGTAGCTTGCACTTTCAGAGACTCAGTTGAAATATTCAGATGATAGAGTCTAGTGTTGTAACAGGCTGTCCAAAACAATCACTGGACAGAGCTGGACAGCGATACCCAACTCAGCGTCATTTATCAAAAAAGGCAGTACAGGTCGGTTCCCAGGTAAGACATTGGACACTCTTCACAAGAGACATGAGGAATTCTTGTATAAGATTACTCTAGATGGGGAAAAATGTGATGTGAATTTCCCGCAGTGACTAAAAGAAAACGCCTACCTTTTTCTTCCTCAGCTGATCTTGCGTGACTTTCCTAACCAGACAACACTGCCCCCTTGTTTCTATTTGCGGTATCACTTATTTGGACTTGGCCTGTTTTCTGCAGTGTCGAGTTATATGATATTTTTAGCTGAGAACTACGATATATGGAAGGAAATGAACCTGACTTAAGAATTCCATTGTACTACTATTAGCAGAACAGTTTTTTTTTTTCAATTGTCATTTCTTTAAGGGAATATGTACCTTTTCCCCGGGCTGTTTTATTGCCATACACTGTTGTTTCATGAACATCTGAGATAAAGGTTCTTCTTGGAATGAAATGGGTTACAGATGTTGTAGATAATGTGATGTGAAGTTCATAGTTATTCTCATATTGATCTTTATTTTTTGTCAATCATTGGCAAACTGCCCATTTGGTTCCTTTACTAAGGGAACGGTGCAGTTCTCCTACACAAGCACACTGTGTTTTCAGACGGAGTCCGCTGACCGTCTGTGCTCTGTTCCAGTCTCTCTCCCAGCAGAGGCTCCTCACCTGGCTGACAGTTCTGGAGTATGTGGAGGTCTTTACAGAGATGGGAGCTGCCAAGCTGTGGGGAGAAGGCGGACGCTGGGCTGTTATTGTTCTCATACAGATCGCTAAGTAATGTTTACTCAAAATAACCTATATTTCTAGCATCATCATCCCTAGACGCATAGCTACATTAATTTATAGTTACAAGATGGATGTGGAAAGCAAATTTGTATTGCTTAATATTGGCCTGTTGGGAGTAAATCGTTGTTAATTGTGAGTCGTCTCAGTATCAGTTTCCACTAGCAAAGCAGGTACATGAGAATTCTTTACCAGAAACTAAACTCCTTATTGAAACTATCGCATGAAATCTGTTTGAACTTTTTTTCAAAGAAGCAGCACTGTAACTAGGCTATTTTGATTCAGCGTGTAGAGTAGAGCCACTTTTCAGCACAAGCAGAACTCAGCAGTGAAAAACAAAGCGTGGAACATTAATCTCCACTCCCACCCGAGCCCCTCAGAAACAAGATCTCACGCTTCCATCACTCCTGGTTGGGAGGACAGAAAATACAAAAGACAAAAGGGAGTATTCAGAGCCCATGGAGCATATATTGAAAATAAATTTAAATTGCTTTTCAGGAGAATATTTTCTCATTTTGCTGCACCCTTTACTGCAGTTTTGGCTTTTTAACAAAGCCACAGACAGGAAACCAGCCTTACGTGACTGACAGCTTGCCGCCAAAGCCCTGTGACATTGTTTGGTTTACCTCCACAGGTGCATTCCTGATGGTTCTTTTTTTAGTCTTTTCCGGGACCTTGAATATTAAAGAAAATCGTAGCTGTAAATCAGAACATTTTTTCAAGAAGTTTACTTGTTGAGTTAGTTAATCAGACAGCCACTCTCTGAGTATTTGTGAATGTTGTGCTAGTGTAATAGCCATTAAGCAATCCTTGTGAATTCTAACCAAGTTCTCTAAGGTGTCAGAGCTTTGCCAAGCTGATTTCTGAAAAATGTATACAGTAGATTGTAGTGACACTAGGTCACAGGAGTATGTCTCCCTTTCTCCCCTCAGGGCGATCCTGCGAATTCTGCTTCTTTTTTGGTACAAGTCAGGAATACAGACGTCTCCTCCAATCATTCCTCTGGACAGGGAGACGCAACTGTGTAACAGAGGTCCGAAAGTATTCTGCAGTGGAGAGTAACACTGACACTGTAGTCTGTATTGAGCATTTCCATCAAGTTAGTCAAGCAGAATACTATTCGTTAATTTGTATTCTGTTTTGGGTAAGACCATAGGGAAAAAATAAAAAAATGGAAAATTTTAATTATGTGGTAGAGGATTGCATCTCTTTTAGATTTCTGCAGGTCTCTGTTTTGTGAAGTATAATTTTAAGTAAGGCATTCTTGAGGATATGTTTTCTTTCATATATTTAGTATAGAGTTGTGCAGCAACCAGATTTTCTAAGATGACATGATCTGTTGTAAAACTTATTTCCAGTAATGTAAATCTTAATTCTAGAGGGACAAGCTATGAGCTGTTAGAGATTAGTAACACTGCATTATACAGTAATGAGGAACTCCTTGCCTCACAACTTTTGAGGCCAGTTTTCCATTGGTAGTTTTTGCATTGTGATAGTTATTTTTTATGGTCACTTTTGTAGCCAGACACCTCATATTTAAAGTGGTTTCATGTTTTGTAATTAATATTATATGGCTAATTTATTTTACTTGTTTCTTTCTGCAGAAAATGAATGCACGCAGGTGGACTCCTCATTTGTTGGCCAGCGATCTGGAAGGATCATGAGGTCATTGAGTAGCAGTAAGCATTGCTGCTATTTTCTTTAGTGCTACATGGGTATTTTTTCATAACCTACCATTGTCTTATATTAATAATTTCAAAATGAAAGTTTCTGTAAAGCTACTACTCTTGATAAATGGGCATGCATATTGCTTGAATAGCATTTATACTTTCAACACAAACGTACAGTAGTGGAACTGACAAAGGATTTTTCCTCTAGTCCTTATGAGTAATCTTAATGAGCAACACATTTATATGATGATTAACTATATTTAAATGAGCTTTTTAAGCATGGTGGCACATTAAAAATATCACGTTTCAGGTAGTCCTGCAAATTATCCTGCTAGCTATCATTTTACAAATTAAGTGTCAGTTTGTGAAGTCTTCATTTTAACTTGAACATTTCAGTGTGGGTAGAGAAATTTGCCATTATTTTTAATTGTCTGTCTGAATCCACAGTGGGTGCAGAAATCATTCTTTTTCCTAATTATGTTGGTTTGCCTCAATCTGTTTATCTGCGAGTCTCTGGGATAGGCAGCTCCAGAGCTCGAGGATTAGAGTCCTGCAGGTTTTACTGGTATTTTTTGATTAGCAAAGAATTAAGAGATAAAAACAATTTATGATTTGACTAATTCGATTTCTTAATCAAATAACGAGTGCACGCTCTCAGGCCTAGGGGACTTGAGTTGCCAGTCTGTGATCTGTGTAAAAATTTTCTGTCTTCCAGAACATTCAGCAGTTTGTAGTTGTTGCATTGCAAACTCAGGGGTTTGCTTCTGTTACAGGATATTCTAGTAACACAGTAGCCAGCAGCTCAGGATTGAGTACCTGCGACCTTCATGGTATGACTGCTGTTCTCGTGTTCCAGCCCCATGTTTCCAGTCCAGACTCTGGGGAGCTCCTCGGCCTGAGGACAGACAAGGGAGGCCAGAAGATGAATTAAATCGCATCCCGACTCCACTGGGCCTGCAGGAGACTATAGCCGAGACCCTGTACATCACACGTCCGCTTGTCCACTGTATCCTACTCCCTGAAACCTACAGTGCATTAATTTAGGTCTCTTTGCCACCTCCACGTTCAGTGTAAATTATTCTATCTTATACAGTATGTGAAAATGAGCAGACCCATTTCCTAAATAGTCCCATGAATTAGAACATGTTGCTTAACAAAATATTCAGTTTTTCTTTAATTTTCTATTTATTGCTTGTGTGGAATATTAAAGCTGTTGTTAAATTAATACAAAAATTCTCTTGAGTTTTAGTTTTTCAAGATTTTAAAGCTCCGGTGGTCTGCTTTCACCTATACACAACATTATCAAAGTCACAGTTTTGCACACTGCTTCATGTATTGCATATCCTTCACATGCATTCCTAGTGCTTGCAGATAACGGTGTCCATACCTCAGGCATTCCCTCCTTAACTCCTCTTCCTGCAGTGCTGTGCCTGGGAATCTGTGGAACAAGGTCATGGAAACCATGGCTCATTTCTGGGATTCTGGACATAACAAGGTAAAAGTGCTCCAGAAAGACTGACTAAAGCTGAATCGCGTATGATACAATTTCAGACATAAATAGGACACGGATGCATTTTACTTCATTTTGGATTGTACCATAGGAATTTTTTCCATGCAAGTCCTGAAACATTATTTAGGAAAATGTTGCATTTTGTATCATTAAATGCCTAGGAGATGTATCTTTATATTTTTTGTGTTGATTCATGTATCTGCATCTGCATGTTTCATTTTGACTTCTCCAGTTTCGGTTTAATGAACGACATGAAGTCACTGAATCGCCGAGAACAGACTGAGATGAGGCGCAGAGCCTTCTTCCTCCTTTACTACCTGCTGCGATCCCCCTTCTACGACCGATATTCAGAGTAAGAGCTGTTAATCAAATTCAGGGAACAGAGTGTGGTTTTCTTGGGTCAAGAGCTGAAGATTAATTGAGCGACACAGCGGCTACAATGATGGCAAATTCAATAATGAAGTTTATGGAAAGTAGCTAGAATTGGCATATAATTGGAGCTCTGTGTTCCGTGAAGAAAGGGGCACTCTTTTTAGCAGTTCATTGTCTCCCTCTTCAAACGACTGGAGAAAAAACATATTTTTGTAAAGTTTAAAAAAAAACATTTTTTTTTAATAATAGAACTGCATGCTTAATTTTGGGAACTAAGGGAAATCTGCCGACTTGCAAAAACACACAGCCCCAAACTTTCACAAGTTCAAAATCTTGAAAATGCTAATCCATGCAATTTTTTATTTTTTGCTTTTAGGACAAAAATCTTGTTTTTGCTCCGATTATTAGCTGACTATGTGCCAGGTGTTGGATTAGTTGCACGTAAGTATAATGATCTTTTGAGTGCCAGAGTTACGTGGTTTTTTTTTTAACTTGGAGCCCTCAATTATTTTTCATTACATACTCTCAATGTGACTTGGCTTTACACCTATGACACCTTTCCTGCACAGGGAAATTGTGCCCCTACACCTGTGCTCCTAGAACAGCAGTTTCTTGGAATTATTCACTTTTTTAATTTAGAATTGCTCATCTTTTTTATTAAAACCGGTCCAATTATAGTGAATCTCAGATTGCGGTTCTTGTGTCTGTGCCACAAAGCCCGTGACCGCAGACAGGGAAAACAAGGAAGGGGAAGTGAAAAAGGAGTAAGCAGACTCCTCAGAGCTTGCCCGCCTTCAGGCCTCTGACCTTGCAGTGAGTCACAGGCACCACAACCGAGGAACCGGAGGTTCAGCGGTGATTGGAGAAGAAAAGCGTTTTCTTTATCAACTGCAAGCCTGTGTCAAGCCTGCAGGTGTCACTCAGTGTCAGGTCCGACTCATGAGCACTGCCGCTTGGCTAATCCCAGTCCCAGCTGATGACGTAACCCGGCTCGAACCCATGATCATAGAGCTCGGCCAAGAAGCCTTACTGGCTCAGCCGCTAAGGAGTCCTGAGTCATTTACTTCTTGACATGTCACAGGCGTGTCTGGCATATGGCGCCTCTCTTGCTGAGCTTGCATGTATTGCAGAGCGGCATTGAAAATTGCAGGAGTGTTGTTACTGGTGAAAGCCAAAAGGGCCCTGGCTGTATTAGCACTGATCGGACCCCTTGTGTGATGTGTTTCCGTTTGGATGATACTAAATTTATTATACACAAAAATGTCTCCTGCTAGACAGTTTCAGGTTATGAATTAAAATCGCTAATATAGACATACTGGTAGGTAAATTGGGAAATTGGGAAAACTGGCATCCCATCCAGAGAATATCGTGCCTTTCCCCCATTGCTTCCTGGGATAGGCTCCGGCTCCCCCATGACCCTGCATTGGATAAATCAGATAGAAAATGGATATTTTGTATTATTTAATATTAATCAGTGTAATTTGTGCTCTGTAATGTCTTGCTTTTTTATTTTTGTAGTATTTAGCACTGCCTAAACACAGTCTATCTAATATAGCATTATTCTGGTGTGCTAACTAGACTTGATACTGTACGTCTTACAACATTTTGTTGCATTGCAAACTCAGGGGTTTGTCAGCTTTAACAGGATTTGAACATGATTTAAATTCACGTCAACCTTAAAATGTAAGTTACTTTGTGATAAAGTGTTAGTTTTGCTTATTAAATATGCATCTAGAAGAAAGAATTTTGCCCGTGGAGGTCTGTAGATTAATCTGATATGAGTGGAGAAATAATTGGATGGTACTGGCTTCATTCCTGCCAAGAAACATTGGGGAAAAAATACATGTCAAAATGCTTTTTCAAAACTTAAGACATTGTTTTTCTGATTTCTGGCTTTCACAGGTCCCCTGATGGAATATTTACCTGTTTGGCAGAAGGTTTATTTTTACAACTGGGGATGAAATCCTTGCTGTGGGGACTTTCAGGAACCACATTTTAAATGCTGGGGCTATGCAGGAGAACTGGGAGCGAGTGGAACTGAGCGCACTGGAACTCAGTAAATTAGTGCCAGTCTTAAAAAAAAATTATCACAAGATCTGATGAGGACATCTGTTGTTAATGAATGTAAAATAAGCTGTGGAAACATTTTTCTGTTTTTAATTCTTTATAAGGAATTTACTTTTTCAAAACAGTTTTGTTTTTCTTTTTTTGGACAATTGTTATATTGTTTTTGTTAAATCTGTTTGTTTTTAATTCATCTTTCAAACTCTTAAAAATGTGTGAAGTGTGAATTACCTTATTTTATGGGATGTTTATTAAGAAGAGTCCTTAGATCCTCCATGACAGCTTGTCTGAACCTTTACCTTTCTGTTCATTTCTAACCAGCTACACATGAAACCCTTCTGCAGTATCCTCTCTTTTGGTTTTCCCCCTTATAGAGATCTGTGGTTGGCCTTCAAAGTACCTTATGTAAAAGAACATTTAACATGGACACTGTACCCTTAAAATTTGGGGGGTTTCTCATAAATGTTATTTACATAAACTATATTTGCATACAGTTAAAAATGCAATCATTGAGTAAAGATCACTCAGTTTTTCTCACAAGAATAACTAGATGAGCTGGCATTACTTTAGATGAAAATAATTTAGGATCCATTACATTTAATATTGGGTGTTGCATCCTCTTTGTTTTAATGCCAGTTAATGTAGTGGTCATTTTTGTAATCCATGGTTGTATTATTGCGAATTAAATATGTCATGTATTGGAAGTGTGCTATTAAGAATTCCAATTTCTATCTGGAAAAGTCATTTCTAAGGGGATATTTCTATGGTGTTTTTAGGGCTAATAAGTGCCAGCTGGAAATGTATAGAAATTGCATTATTTTTCACTGTGTGAAAAGTATGTAATTGCTTTTGTTAATGCCAATTAAAAAAATGTATACATAAGAGTTATATGGAAAGTTCAAAGTGGGTTGCTTGGCAATTAGCGCTGCATCCTAGATCTTGGGTCCTGGGTTCGATTGTGGCTGGGACGCTTCCTTTGTGAACTTTGCATGTTCTCCAGTGGATGCTCCAGTTTCCACCCAGGGCCCAAAGACTTTGTGGGAAGGCTGCCTGGTGGCTCTTAATTCTCCCTGTGAGTTTGCCTCTATGTCCTGGAGGGCTGGTGTCCGACTTCTACTTTGTTCCTTATGCTTCTGGGATAGGCTACTGGCTGCGGTCACCGACACTGGAAAGAATCGGCATTCTGATGATGCATGAAAGGAAGTTAAAAGTTTTTATTATTATTCTGGAAGCCTGCAGGGATCTGCAAGTACCAGAATCTGGGGGGGGGGAGTAATTTATATACACTCTTGGGATGCTTTCAATAAATCTCTCTTAAGAACAAGAGTAATGGTTTGCATCGTTTTTCTCCCATATTGTTTTAGGAACCTGGACTTTATGAACCTGGAATTTCTCAAAAGCAGTACCGCTTGAATTAGCTGGTGGTCCTCAGAACAACAACCCATGACTAAGATGAATACCATTTTACCAAAGCTGTAAATCATTTTGCAATTTAGTTCAATGCACGGTATGTTGGAGATTAATATTTTCTCTCTCCAACAACAAACAAGAGCTTGATATCCTACTAATACGTCTCATTTTGCAACAAAAGCCTAAAGTTTGCCTTCTGTGATTAATCTTTTTCTACATCTTTAAAGGAGGGTGACCTAGTAAGTAGTAAGTAGCATTTCTTCTTTGCTTAATTTCAGCACTGGGTACTTGAAGAATTTCTGAACAGTTGTTACCTGCAACTGTATTTAAGTACGTTTTAAGCATCAATTGTGTCATGTCCGATATAACGCACACGGTGAGCTCCTAGTTGCGCAGATGAGCTGTAGCTCACTATGGGCAAGGAAGCGCAGGACCCTGAGCTGCTTCGGGAAACTGGAAAAAAAAGCTGCAAAACAATACGGATTTGCTGACAACGAAGTGGCCTTAAAAGTAGGTACCCGAATAGGAAAAAAAACAGCACTTAAATGAAAACTTTCTATCAAGTTAGATAGTGGAAAAGAAAAGCAGGAGCGCCCGATTTGTTAAAAACAAGGGTGTGTGCGAGCTGTGAATTTTGATGCATACAGTGTTTTGTTGGGTGAACTATAATGATAAGCCTATTGGATTTGGTCATGTCCTTCATGGAGCTCAACTTCCTCCAGCGAACAACTAGGTTGTATCAGTGAAAAGACAGACGGTTAAAATAATAACAATGTGCGTAAAATGCTATATATTTTCGAGTTTTTGTGGCACTAGATATTGAGTGAATAAATTGACTGCGCACATGCTTGTACAGTATGTAATGGGAAAAACAGGAGACGATGAGGCAGCCATATTTTACTAAAAAAGGACGCATGAATACAGGAAAAGAATAAGTATTTCTTACTGGTGTTTACAGTATAGGCTCTGTACTCGGTATGGTGAGTATCACTATTTAAACGTCGCATCTATGCGTAACCACTAGCACGCATGAGACGACATTCCGAAGAACAGTACTGTGTTATTTACAATCCTTAAATTTTAAATTTAAACGTGGTCGTGTGCTTGATTTAATTATAGCGCAGCTCCAGTCCGTCATGACTGACGTCTTAACTTTTCTTCCAGACACAACTTTGAATACCTTAATATGATTTATTATATATTACTGTAGCTAAAGCATTTAAATGTCACGCTTTCTTCATTAAATTAAAAATGAGAAGAAAAGCTTTATTGTTTTACAAGTTTTAATTTAAAAGTCGGGCAGCGATTAGTGACGCAGAAATTAAAAACTTGGTACAAAACAAATACGTGCGTACTAAGCGCTGTCTTATAAATTACTTTAATAGACATTTTCGTCAACTTTACAAAGATGAAATATTTGGTGGCCTTAGGTAATTGCTAACTGCATATCTTTGACATCTATAATTTCTAACATTTAAAAAAAATAGAAGGCATGCTGTTTACGTGGGTGAAGCTTCAGCACCAGGCGTTGTTTCGTTTCTCAGAGTAAGGAAAACGAGAGCAAACGTAACCTCTTTACATAAGCAGTTTTAAAAACCAAATAAAAATGGTTAAAACTACTACTTTTTCATACATAATCTGTATCAGCAGATCAGTTCCAGTTTTATTCTTGCTGCGGTACATTTCACTATGTACTTCTAACCTGTAAAAACGAAACCCAGTTAATATGTAATAACTGCAAAGTAGCCAAATTTAAGTTTTTAGCCTTAATTGCATAACCTTAATGATGCGTTTTCTTTAGATAACAGATTTTTTCCCCACGTTTTATTTTCCCAGAATTAGGATGGCTGATGATTACTATGAAGCGGGGGAAGAAACCCAGTACCGTTACCTGGTGCAGCCTGACGGCGAGGAAAGAGAAAGGTACTGCAGACGCCACTATGTGAGCCCCTTCCTGGTACTGTCCCGCAAGCAGATCTTCATGATCTCCTGTGGGGTCTTGGCGCTGCTGCTTGCCGCGGGGTACCTGGCCTACCTGGCGGAAACCCCGCGTTATCCCGCCGCGCAGGTGCGCACGGAGTGCGGCGCGGTGCGCGGCCATCGCGGTAAAGCGGGTTTCGCGTTCAAGGGGATCCCCTATGCAGCCCCCCCAGTCGGGGCGCAGAGGTGGCGGCCTCCTGCTGACCTGAAGAAGTCCGGTTCCTGCTGGGAAGGCGTGTATGACGCCACACGGTTCCGGGATGTTTGTGTCCAGGTGCACCCCATGGATGACAAAGGTGCGGTGACGGGCAGCGAGGACTGTCTGTATTTAAACGTTTGGACGCCCACACTCATCAGAGACGCCAAGCTACCTGTGATGTTCTGGATTCACGGGGGGTATCTCCACACATTGAGTGGCTCAGAGGAGGGCTACAGGCCCTCAGAGGAGTTGGCTACGCAGTATGGCGTCGTGTTTGTCAGTCTCAACTACCGCCTCAATGCCTTTGGGTTTCTCGCTCTTGAGCTCCTCAGACAAGGTTCTCCAACCAACACGTCTGGTGAGTCCCCAAGGCTTCCTCTGTCTTGTCGTCTGTGGGGGGGGGGGATTCTTTTTTCTATCTTAAGTATTTGTTTTATACAGGGGTGGTTAAACTAAAGTCCACAGTGTCCACAGGGAATGTAGAGAAAATATCAGAGAAATGTATTTACTAATAAGATTGCATTGAATATTCTAGGTGATGGTGAATCCTTCATGTAAGATGGAAGAATTAGTGGACTGATGAAACAGCCTAACATCTGATCTGTTAAAAAAGATCAATTAACCTTGACCTCATAAAACAGAGATCAGTGTAGTTTTGCTTGAATTTGGATCACAGATCACTCAGCCTAAACATGCGCTTGACTCTGAAAGATCGTTTTATGCTCCTCGGAATGGATTAATTATAGTGAATACCTCCTTTTTTAGAATATGAAAACAATGTGTTTATTTTCATTTCATTTTTTATTTTCTTTTCATAATCTGTGTTTATCTTCATTTTTTTGGTGGTTTTATGAATTCATTCTGTTAGCTTAAGTTTACCATTCTAATAAAGCAAAGAAACCATTTTGATAAGTGGTATTTGTAGATTTGTAACTCACAGAAAGTTTTCTTTGTTTCAATTTAAGGTAACTATGGTTTCATGGACCAAATTGCAGCACTGCAGTGGGTTCAGAGGAATATTCATGTCTTCGGAGGTGACCCAGAAAAAGTAACCATATTTGGACAAAGCTCAGGCATGTACAGATTTGTTTTAATGGCTGGGCGTTTATTCCTATAAACATCACAGATCTGTTTATGTATTTTGTAGGATATGATGTGATTCATTGGTTGTTTTAGATGTAACCTTAAGATAGTCAAACAGGAATGAACTTGTTCAAGGAGTGGATGAGTTTCACTTTCTTTTATTACAAAAGACAGAAAGAAGGGTATTCCTGAGCTGCACTGTAGTTAACAGCTGAATCGATTTTAACAGGCGGCACTTCGGTTTGGACGTTGATGATGTCACCTCTGGCAAATGGTCTTTTTCACAGAGCCATTGACATGAGTGGCTCTTACATTTACAACAAGTCAGTGGAGGAGGCTGAGAGAGACAACCTGATCTTTCTGAGAAAAACCGGGTGTCAGGACATCAAATGCCTGCAATCGCTTCCCCAAGAGAAAATACTCAAGGTGCAGTTCTTAATGCTGTTAATTCTGCTTTTCCCCCGTGTGTAATTTTAGTTTGAGGAGGTCCATACATTCGTAGTGGCATGATGTAAGATCCTGCTTAAATCTTGCTCATTGTTTATTGTATGGACAGCTCTACTGTTCCTGCATGTTTTCATGCCAGATTGCTGCTACGCATGCCTCTACATAAATTCAGTATAAATATCTACTTTTCTCTTATCAGATAAGGCCTTGCATGGGGCTTTTATACTTATAAATTCTCAGAAGCCCTTTTGCAACCTGTAGATTTGCTCATCAAGTCCATTACTGGTGGCATTTACTCAGGGACTTATACAGTAAGTGTAATTGCCCTTAAGCTGTAACTGTGAGTAGAAGTTGAGTTTCCTTTGCTGATGCAGGCCATACCCTGGAAGGACTACCCTTATTGGGCCGCAGATGACGTTACTGATTTGCCACAGAAGGGTCGTTTTGATGGTGCGGTGGCAGTAGTAGATGGTTATGTTCTGCCCGAGCCTCCTTTCCAAATGTGGGAGAAGAAAACCGGCTACAATGACGTTCCTTTCGTCATCGGCACAACGGAGCAAGAAGCTGATTTAGAGTACCACTTTACAGATCTCTTGCCTTTCGTAACTGTCAGGTCCATGTTTTTATTTCCGAGTGTAAAAACTGGTTTTGAGAAAAAAAAAGTTATGGATGGTACAAGATCCGTGTACCAAATTCCACTGTTTTAGACTAATTCATACTCTTCCTTATTAATGATTAGCCTAAGTCAGTCTTAGCTTAGCATTTGTGGGTTTGAACAGTTGCTGTGGAACAATATAGTAATTAATGATAGAAGCTGACAGTGTTTTAGAAGCTGAGAACTGTAGTCTTTCATATTTTTCAAATCTTATTTTTGAGGCGCAAAGTTAACTCTAGAATAACTACTTTTGTTAACTCCTTCGCAGGCCAAGTTATTCAAACATTACATCATGGACTTGGGAGGATTATCAGTGGACTGTGACAGGTAAACATTCCTCCCGTTCATATGGCATTTTTTCATGAGGGCTGTTCATTTAAAAAAGACAGTAGCTAGTAGTAGACCTAAGCAGTAGGTATACATATTTAATCAGTTACTACACAGTTAGAGAAAATACTGTTAATGGTTTAACCAGTTTCCATTCCATTCAAAGCTGAACTGAAATCATTTGACATTGTTTTATAGAGAAAATACTTAACAGAATGATGTAGTGACACTAATACAAAATGAAACCCTAATACAGTGACGTAAGGTGTTTCTGGAAATTACTGAGTAATAATGAAAAACTGAACCAGTACTGTTGTCAGTAGTTAAGGAACATTTACTCCTTCACACTGACAGAAATGTACAAATAACGCAGTGGGTCAGGGCTCATTGGGCCGGGGCTGGTTCTGGTTTACAGGGTGTCAGGTGCACACAGAATATGGAAGACCCCCTTGAGGGATACCAGTCCACTGGAGGACTGACCCTTATGTTAAATCACTGGGTGGGCTGGAGTGACTGAGGGGAGATTAAGAGGCAGGATGCATGACGGAGACTAAGACCACACCCACACACAGACACCTCCGATAGGTGGACCAGTGAAGACATGTTTCTGCTTCATTTAATAATTAAGTAATAGCCACAGACTGCTGGTACAATAAACTCAATGAGCTGAAAGATTAATTTTCATAGTTTTTTTTTTCCCCAGACATCTTATTGTTTGACGATGTTAAACCTAGTAAATGAGGAAAAGGGCTCTTCATATCAGTGGAATTGGGCTTTGGGAGTGTGTACTTCAGAAAATGTAATTAAATGTGAAATGTTTGTGTAAAAACCAAATGCAGCTGTAAGGACAGATTTTATTCTGACAGAAAAACTAAAGCCCTTTGGGGAGGCCATCGCTGAGGAGGCATTGACTTTGTACCCCAAAACTGGGAAGTGTCCCACCACCGAGCGATGTCCCGAAAGACTCTACACAAGCATGGTGTCCGATGCGCGTGTCACTTGTCCCAATAACGATCTAGCCAAGAGGGCTGCAAGTAAGGGCTCCGTCTTATTTTCTTGTCTCTTGAAACCTCTTGGTATCTTATAGTTCAGGATCATATCCTTCATGTGAATTTAACACATCTTTTATAATACACTAAAAACATGATTTTTCAAAAACTTTAAACTGAACATGTGCAAAATAATATTTTACTTTTATTCCTGATTTAAATAGATATGGAGGTGATGAATAAAACATAATATATTCTGGAACACTACATTTGCTATTAATACTGCTTCACAGAATAAAGAATAAATCTACATAACAGATTTGTCAGCAAATTCATTCAGATGTAGATTGTTTCCTGCTAGATTGATTTACTATTGAGTCCTACTCCTCACTTCCTGTCCGTCCATCAAGCCCATCTACACTATAGATGACAGGGCCTTCTGAAATGCCCCAAAGCTCTGGAGTTTTATCCCTATGGATCTCAGAGTCACCTTCCCTGAGCTCTTTCAAATATAGACTCAAAACCTTTTTTGAGAAGAGCTTTTATTTAACTGGTTCGGAGACTGCCTTTCTGAGTCTTTGCTTTCCTTCCATGTCCCAAACCATCACCCTGATCAATTCTGCTGCCTTCTCCCACTATCTTTTTTTCAGTCAAGTGCTTTGAGAAGCCACTTCTATTTTATTATTATTAGAAAGTGATCATTGCTGAGAACTGTGATAGAACCTTGGATCCAGACATACATCCTTCTCTTCCAGATGCTTTGAAGAGCCCAGTGTATCGCTATTTGGTGACTTACACACCTTCCAAGGAAGTTCAAATCTCCAGCGTTTTCCGTTTCCCCAGCCGCTTTACGTATCATGCTCTCGACGCCTACGCCTTTTTCGGCAATCTGGGGTACATCCAGGGAGAGACCAGCAGCGCTGACAGAGACTTCGAGAAGAGCATGCAGAACTATTTCATTCATTTTGCAAAAACGGGTAAGTTTCAGAGCGACACAAATGCCAGGTATGCTTTTCTAAAAGGTACCACCGGTCATGAACGTAGTGGATGGCCCCATGAAATTGGTGAATCAGGGCAGGTGGAAAAAGAGGCTGAAGAGGTGTATTCCTTTCGACAAAAGTGCGCAAAATTATGTTAGGCGTGCTTAATGGTATTTTAATTTCCCAGTACTGTAATGTGTAAAACTGGCCATTATTATTGACTCAAATGCTTTGCCCTAACTCTTCATTGCAGGAGAGATGCCAAGTGAATGGCCAGCATACCCTTCGCACACAGCATTGCTTTCAAACAGCTTCTCAGTGGCTGAGAGTCCTTCTTTGAAACGCTGCCAGTTCTGGGAGAACAATGGGTTCTATTCCTATGCGTGGATCAACTGATTTATTTGGATCTTCTTTTGAAAGTGGTCAAGACTCCTTAATTTTCATGCAGCATACAGTAAACCAACTTGATAAAACTTTTTTTTTGCATTTTAGCACAAGATGGTCTGTTTTGAACATACTGTGGAAACATACCAGCCAAACTGATTTTGTATAATGTGTAAATACTGAACTTCTCCTTGGGAATGTAAAGGGAAGTGATATTTGTTATTAAATATCCGTGCCATTTTACAACTTCCATCCTTAGTTGTTTTGAAGGTTCCTTTGTGTTCATGGTTGAAATTCACTACCTCCCTGAGGTACCTCGTATAGAGAGGTGCAATGATTTTGAAATCATGTGAACCACTAGTATTGCATAGAGGACTTGTCAGATGCAACTTTGTGCACCTGCATTTAGGGGAGTGAATGCAAATGCAATAATACTTTAGTTTTTAAATTTTCATTGACTATTGTGGATACAATATATAACATGTTTTAAATGGACAAATAATCTGCAACAAAGAGTATATGTATCTATTAAATTTCTCAGGGTACAAGAGCTAACTCAAGCTTTTATTTCTTCTTTGAACACTGGATTCTCATTGCTTAAGATATGCAGCTTGTTACCACTCCTGAACTAAAAACTGCCTTGCTGTACAACTTAAAAGGAAATAAACACACCAAAGTGGAGCAGGATTTCTGATCTTTATTGACACAAATTCTTATGTTCTTAAGTCACCTACAATAAATACTTGTACTTCTTGGTGGCGCGAGGGGTTATGACCACGTTTCCACATTGGGTGAAGACAGGCAGGGCAGTAATTGCACGGACAGGAAGTGGGTAGAGCACGGACACCTATTCCCAGGGTGGGCGTTTTCACAACAAAGTCCATAAAAGAATCAAAACAGTTGAAAATGAACCAGTTGTTCTCCTTGGCTTAATACTCTGCGAATAACGGAATTGTTCAATCAGAACCGTTTGTGGGCAAGGTGAGGGTAGAACCTTAATAGCCAACCAATTCAATATTTTGTAGCAATTTGAAGATTCGACTCTGGGGTTTATGACGGTGCTGAAACTGAAGATTTTAAGTACTAATTTACTCATATAGTATGTGATTTTCCTCCCCACAAGAATTACACTAACAAGTAAAGCAGTCATACACTCAATTATAACTTCATAAATTCCTGTACGTCAGGTAAACTAGTCAAGTACTCTGTCTTCATCACGTTTTCTAAAACTAACGTGATACTAACAACCCACTATATTAAATATGAAATAAATGTATCCTGTAAGCACTTAAGTGACTAGTTCAAAGTAGATGCAGCCTTTGCCGTAACAATCGGAGAATAACGGAGCGGTCTAATTTCAATTGTAAAAACAACAAAACAGATGCAGCCTGTGCCGTACTGCCATTGTTTACAATACAACACATTTTTTGTCTGATGCAGTTAACACCTGTTCCAAGTTATAGGCCTTGTAGCAATACTGTCATTTGCCTAAGTCAAGCCAACCAAATTTAATTTGCTACTGGTCACTTGTAGTTTGCCATGGCAAAGCCCCGCCTGCAGTTGAAAATTCTTTGCAGAGTAAAAACCACTGAATAGGTCCAAATACTTTTTTTGTTTTGCACCAGTGTAACACTAGATAACAAGGAGGCTTTACATAATCAATTATTCTCATTAGACTTAAACCTGAAAGACAAGACTGCTGACAGAATTTGTGATGATCAAGGTTTACACCAACTGAATCGATACTGTGTTACATGAGGAGGCGAAATTACATGTCACAAGAAAAGCAGAATCTGGGTGATGTGGAACCTAGAGTACAAAATAACAGCAAATGGGTAAACTGCAGTTGTTTTTCAAAACACGCCTATTACATCTTTGGCAGTTAATATATAGGTAACGTCAATACATTTGTATCAATATGCCATGACTCAGAGGAGTAATCCAAAATGTACAATTGAGGGAACGTTTTAACTGCAAATATTCAGGGAAAAATAAAATTCTTTGCCAGAGATTCTTGTACTGTTTGTGACAATGTTGAATGAGCCAATAAATAATGGTGTGACTGTTTTAGGAAATAAACTTCCTGCAATGAAGGAATAAAATATAAGTTTCATCAAATAAACTGTACAATTTAAAAAAGCTCAAGCATTTAATGTTAATTGAAAAAGTAGTTGATGGTTAGCATATTGCACCAAGATTAAAAAGTTAAAAAATAATGCTTTTAAAAAAAAATCCTTTTCAATGAAACAGACTCAATTTGAGATGAGCACAATGTTTGTGATACACTATTTTTCAATTACTTCTGAAGATCAGGCTAAAATAAAGACTTTTAAGTAACAGGATAAAATCCCCAGTCATACCTTTTAAATCTTTTTTTAACTAGATAATTTCAAAAATTCACAATACCGCTCTGTTGAAACGCAGAATAACTGTCCCAACAAAATTCCCAGTCAGGGTGTGCATTTGTGAAAAAAATGAAGACTGAAAAGCATAGATTCAAATAAATGCATTTGCTTAACCATTACATTTGGTTTGTAATTATATTACATTTGCGTAACATAACATTACAAATGACTAATTCTCTGTCCCGATTCTGTTCATGATGCAGGTACATTTCATTAGTTTGGAGCTATAGATTATTGTATGTCTAAAAAATAAAAGTTTGAAAAGTGCATATATAAATAAGAGAAGAGAATGAACCTGGGAAATAAATATGAACAAGTATTCGAAATCCACTATGCTTTTTGAAATGCTTACCATATCATATAGAAAAAAAACAAAGAGAAGTATGCACCAGGGCATCAGTAAACTGTTAAGCTGTCAAGTTTGTAAAATAAGTATCTACATCTACCAGTGCTTTTTCTGAAAATAAAACTGAAATGTTTTCAAAAGAAAAAAATACTTTTTTAATATATTTTGTACTCTATAAAATTACGGGTAGGCAGACAAATAGGAAAACTCTAGGTTTCTCCTGATCACAGTCATGCTTTTTCTCTCCCACTCATCATTTTTAACACAAACACAATTGAGAAAAAAGGCGGACATTAACAGTATTCTGTTTTTTGCTTGGTATTCTCAATTTCTCCATCTTCATGTTCAGTATGAGCCATAGCGATCCTAACAACAAATAAAAACACTTTTTTTAAACACAGGAACTATTTCCTTATTCTACATGCTTTTTTATATGTTCAGCACAACGGAATAAAAAAAACAGATAAATGCACATGCAGTCATCCAGCACCCACACACTCTCTAGAGCAGAAGTTAAAATATACGACATTGTTAGATGCACAATTAACTCCACTTTCAATACAAAACGAAATAAATCCATACGTCATGATGATGATGATGATTTACCTGAATTGTGTTCATCACCCCATTGGCCAGCACTGCCATCTTCCCAGCTACTGTCTTCACACCTTGTTTGAACTGGGCAATATCAGGGCCAGATGGAAGCACACTTTCAAAAGTTGAACCCCCTGGAAAACATTTTAAGTAAAAATATATATACACACATTTACAACCAGATACAGATATTTACCAACATGAACACAGAACAAAGCCTTTTCAAATGTCTTTGATGGGTCATAAAAAAACAAAACTAACCAGCAGAGGAGTGATCAGTGCCATCCCCAAAGAGATCTGCAGAGCTTATGGAAGTACTGCCTTGAAGTCTCTCCAAACGGGTCTTAGCTTCATACTGTAAGATCACAACAATCATTCATTTCAACTTCTAATACCAACCCAACACAAGGAACAGACAGCACAGAAAACAGTCAAACCTTTACAGAAAATTATAACACCGAACAGTCACAGCAGATCTTCCACACTAGGTTTCGGTTACACCAGGAAAATATTAGGATGACAATGTAGAAGTGAACAGAAGTAATCAGATGGAAAAGCTAGTCAAACTGATGCTATTTATGTTATTTATGCTAGTTATGTTATTATTTATGTAATTTTAGAGAACACTGTCCTCCCTTTCACGAGGTAGAACTTTATTTGAACAAGTGTTACGCTGTAAACGTGTAAAAACACCCTCATATCCCATTCCAAAACACTAAACACAATATGACATTTGCAACAGCTCATATGGACAGTTTCAAACAACAGCACAACTCCTGGTAGAGAAGGATGGAAGACAATATATACACATCCTGTGATCCTGGCATGATTTTGTGAAATTTTATTTTACTATTTAGTTTTTAGTGGTTTTTAAGCCTCACTCAAGTAAAGCACTTTCACTGACATTTACCTCTGCATCACTTTCTCTCCCAAAGAACATGTCGGACGAAATGGCCTTAGCGTTGGCGAACTTCTGACGAGCCTCACTCGATTCCACGACCGTGACGTTGCTGTCCGGCTTCCGTCTGCTCGGGAGCCTGTGCATACAGTCCGAGAGTCAGAAATATCAGAAATCCTTTCCGTCACGATCCTTCTTGAGAACCGAGCCATGAACCGATGGTCGGAATTAATAGCAGTCCATTCTGTTGCACTTAATAACCAACATTCAAATTGAACTTCACGCATGGCATCAAGCCCTGAATAAAAAGAAAAAACTACGGGAGAAGAATCCCCAAAACGCATACCCAAATAGTTGAAACGTGGGTTTTCAGTTCATACGTCGGGAAAGAGATGAAAGATACTGTTCTTACCGGTCTCCCGTCGGCTGAATACTGGAGATCGTGACTTCAGAGTCCTTCGGCTCCTCCTTCTCCAGGCCCCAAGAGGAGAAAGATGATCCCCCATCAGAGTCCCATCGAGAGCCAAAGCTATCCCCTGTTGAGAAGGGGTTATCCTTGTACCTGAGGAGGAGTGGAGGAATCAGGCAAAATCCCGGGTATGTTCCTTTCATTTCCCAACAAAGCCCACAACTACACCCACCACCTACTCTCATTTCCTGTTGTAACAGGAGTTCTGATGGCAATCTGAATATCTGCCATTTATTGAGCCTATTCATCCAACAAGAATGACTTCTCATAAAGGGTTTCCCCTTTCTTACTTTGGGGGTCCAGATGTAAATCCGGGTTCGTCAAACATATCCAGCTTTGAGCGAGACGACTTTGCCGCAACTGGAGTCTCTTGTTCAATTACTTGCATTTCCGATAATACTGAATGAGAAACCGCACTATAAAAAGAAAAGAAAATCAGATGAGTCTTTATAATTGCATATTCATTACATAAAAGATCCGTTTTATATGCCCACATAAGACTGCAAAGACGTTTTGCTTTAGTCTTTACAAACAAACCACATTTAGCAAGTTTCTCATGCACCCATATCACTGAGCTGTGTTTTTAACATTCTTACTCACCTTCTGCTTCCAAATCCCATCCCAAGCCTCTCTGCCTGTTCTCTCTTCTTCCCTTCAAGATTTTGCAGCTTTTTATCCTCAGTTTTCCTGTCAATCTGTAGTTCCTGGTATGCCAAACGCATAGAGGTTACACTGCCAACACAGGAAAAAGAAAAATCAATCTGAACCAGTGACTAGTGACACTAACAGTTTGTTGCTCACACCAGATTTAGAATGCAAGATAGAGGCTAAGCTTTTTTGTTTTAAAACTTCACAAAGTGTAAAAACAAGCAAGACATGATTCTCATAATTCACTGCTATACAAACGAAAGCAGCAATTAATTTATCTCCTTTCTTTAGTTCTGTGCATCTGTACTTCTTGGGCAACGTGCACCACAATTACAATCCAACGGTAAGCCTCAGCTGGTGAGGAGAGTGGCTACGATTCCAATGAGAGGCTAATGTCAAGAAATGTAACACAATATCTTAATCTTTCATTTATCCCAAGATGAAGCCTTTGTAATCATGCTTTACTTTTAATATAAAACAAGCTTAGCTTTAAATGTGTTTTACATCACCTCGTCGTTAATATGTGGATACTGCAGATAATTACATTTGCTCGCCAAATAATGAGAGTGGCATTTTAATAGAGGTGGTTTCAGTCTGAGCGTCTGGAATAATGGCTTACATGGACTCCTCGGCTTGCTTCTTAGCTTCACTGGCTTGCTGTTCTCTCATTTTTTCTGCCACCTGGGCCTGTCTCTCAATCTCACTGAAGCTCTGGCTGCTCACCTTCTGGGCACCCAGCCCCTTTTTAGCACCAAGCTGGAAATCAGAGGAAAAAAAGGTAAAATAACACATCTTCCCCTACCGAGTCTACCGCTAGGTGCATCATGAGATAAAAAATAACATTACTTTTCCTTGAGTGGATGCATTACCTCTATGTGCAGAAACAACTCAGTGGCCGTTGTACAAATCATCTCACCAACCTTTGTTCAGCTGGATTCTTGATGATAGTCAAAGATCATGACGCGACCCGTAGAACAATGGTGGTATAAAATAAACACATACCCCTTTTTTCGAAGCTGCAGGCTTTTTCTTTCCAATAAGAGAGGGCTTCACTTCTATAGGAAGTGAGAAAACAGCAAGTGAAAGATTTGCTCTGAAACGTGGCATCGTAAGGTTTCTCTCAATTATGGCTTATCAATTCACACAGATCATGGACACAAGTTTTCCTTTAAATTCATAATTAGAATTTTTTCCATTCATAACTAAGTCCACAACACTGAAGAAATATAAAACAGAAAAGATTTTGTTTTAACGTTGCAGCATTTATTTAAACTAAGAAAAAGTATGCTTCATGCACCAGTAAAGCAAGATGTAAATAATCAACACATACTGTTCTCCACTTCATGTAGGAACCCCTTCTTTAAACAATGCCAAATAACAGGCATCACATCTTTGGAGTCGACTGAATTTTAATGAACGATGAAATAACCACAACATTTAGAAAGGCCTCTACTGTAAAACAGCCTTTCAGCCTTCTTCTGCCAATTGATTTGTTATTATAAATTGTATTTGTGTCCTGAAAAAATAAACAATCAGTTACATAAACCACACAGTACCTGGAGTATGCTTTAGTAAATCTCAAAACGTTCCTACCATCCAGGAATTTAAAAGTCTAGTTGCAGAGCCTGCTTCTTAAAAGCTAGTTACAAAGCGTTACCTAGAACAGGCACACAGCAGGACAGTAATCCCATCACGATGCAATATAGATATACAACGTGAAAAACTAACATATTAGTGCAAGTGTGGAAGTAAAGCAAGCATGTCCCAGAGTGAGGAAGCAACCAGGTAGAGTCATGCCCAGTCTGTAGCATCACACTTTCAATCACCTGTAGAAGACTGAGGTTCGTCAGATGCCAAGCGCATCGAATCCTCTACGTGACAAAATAAACACACATTAAAGGAAGGCACGACACTTAACATTACTTGGCGCTGCTGGAGAGGTAAAGTGAGATACAGTCATTCCTGCATTCCCGTTAACTGGAATTGGCTCCTTGAAAAATGGAAGCCTTGCAGAGTTCAGATGAGCTCTGAATCCGTATAGACGGATTCCTGCTCGACAACAGCAGCACCATGAACCACTGCACGTGCTGCAGTAATGCGAAGGGAAAATAATAATGATCAGATATACAGAAAAGCACCTTATGGTGAAAACTCACCTATGTTAGCTTTGGGAGATGTGCTGAGGCCCTCAATGCTCGGTCCTTCCTCTGGTTCTAAGAATAAATAGAAGAGTTGGAAACTTGCATGGAAAACACCCCAAAACAGAGAAAATAAACAGTATTTTGTAAAGATGCTCATGAAAATAATATATAGTAACAATAGCAAAACTCACGGTTTTTAATGTTTTCTTGCAGTTTGGGAGACTCTTCCACAGCCTGTGGACCCTGTGGAACTGCACCATTCTCATCCGATAGGGAGGCCATATCCCAGCTGTTTGCAGGCTAAAGTGTGCAGGTAAATCAAACAGATCATCAGAAATTGCATGAGGTAATAATAATGTTTTCACACTCCATTAAAATGTGCAATACAAACTACACTGATCCCATTCTCCATTGGCCTACAAACATTTCAGAATTGAATTTTTACAGCTATATTCGCACAACTTATAAACCCACATTGAACTGAGGACAGCATAGAATGCTGAAGTTACTAAAAAAAATTACAAATACCTGAGTGTGTTCTGCAAAGAAGTCAGAATCTTTCTTTTCTGGTGTATGAGCCTGGGCACCTCCATGACCATCAATCCAGAGCTAAACACAAACTTTAGATGTTTAATGAGGAATTCAAAAAGTAACAAAACCTCAGATTATTTTCATTTTTAATCATTTCAAGCATTTTATTACCCTGGAAGCAAACAAAACCGTTTTTTACCATCAAAACTCTTTTACATTTCATAGAATGAATGCCTTATTCCAGTATAAGATTGCACAAAAACCAATTTCAAATAAAGTATTTAACGTGCTGCATTTCTTGGAGGGTGCCATATTAGTACTCAATACTTCCACATTATACTTACATCGGTTCCATGCTTAGAGAGGGCCGCATCTGCTAACTGTCTTATCTTCTCTCTGTACATCTGGGCAGCTCTACTGTTGTATTTGGCATTTGTATCATTGGTTGTGCACCCATGTTGCCGGAAGAAAGCCGTCTTAAGAAAGAAACCAAGACAGAGAAAACGGGGGTTTAAAAAAGGAACCATGTTTTTTCAACAAGAATTATATGAAAGGTAGACTGCCTGACTTTTGCCAAAGCTGTTGTATTATCTGGACACAAAGACGGAAAAAATGAGAGCGGGGGAATAGGAGAACTCATCAATAAGGTGAGTAAGACTGCAAAAGAGATGCAACTAGTGCACTTACTGCATTGGCATTACCCCCAACCTGCATACATCTCAGCTGAAACCAGTTCCAATTGGAATCAAGTTCTGTAGATCTATGAAGGAAAACAATGCATCAGGGGTGAGCAAGCTGGTAAGCACTGAACAGTAGCACATGTGTTAGGAACTGCGTCAAGACCAAGAAGAACCTATAAAACATGCTCCTGGACATTGCTGCAGTAGTACTGCTTGATCAAACAAAGTGCACCACATTTTTTTTGACAAGAACAGAAGAGGCCAGTTCTCAAAAGCAAAGTGCATGCAGTGTCAAGCAATGCATACCTGATAAAGCTAAGATGCACTCCTAGAGACCGGTGAATCCCTGAGCAATCAATACACAGGAAGACTCCATATGGTATACTAGCCCAGCTTGGGTTTTTTGCTGCACAGTCAAAACAAGCCTGAAAATGTTGATAAAAATAAACATTTTATTTAGGGTTCTTCACTATGGAGGACAAACAGGTTAAGTGTTCACTTTTTTTTTAAACAACAGGTTTGAATCAGTATATTAAACAGTATACTTTCTTAATACTCGTCTAATGCATTTAATTATCTAAAGCATATACACAGCACATTGCCACAAGAGTTGCATCTTTACAGGTGTTCATATATTATATACACTAATTACCATTCTTCAACAGTAACGCAGGACACAAAAATAACAGGTCTGTTAATCCATTGCAAACATTTTGTAAAACACGCGCCACACATAAGACAGATCTTGAATGAATGGCCAATTAAATAAAACCACCCCTTATCATCTTTCAATGTCTTCTCAAAACTCAGCTTTTCAAACTACCGCCAGGATTCCCACATATCATCATCTACTCTGATAGCTGCTATTCATCAGCACAGTATTCAGAGGCAATTATACCAGCAACCATATTCACGTTTTGCCTAATCATATCTTGTTGTTCATCTCTGTTAAATCTTATTCAGCGTCTTATATTAGTCTACTGAAATATAGTGTTTTAATATTAGCTTTATTGGTATTAATCAGTGCACTACGTAACGTAATTACTTTATAAATGCAACCTACGACTGTTTTGTATAATTAGATTTGTATAAAGGTATGTATTGAAATAATAAAGTACCAAAATTCTGCACCACTTTACATAAGTAACATACAAGTTATAGGTTTATTCCATGCTGAAAAAAAGAAGAAAGAGAACACAACGTTTCGGCCGTGGAGCCTTCTTCAGGTGTCATAAGTAACATACGTCATGTGGTCTAGCATTCCAGTATTCAGATACCAGGGGGTTCTGAAAAAAACCCTAAGATATTGATGAATCAAGCAAATAATTACAAAAACTGTGGTACTTGGTAGTCGATGAGGACTCACAAATTCGGTACCAAATTGTCCCTAAATGATATGCAGTGGTTTAACCAGTAACTGGTCACAGGGAAAGGGGTCCCATGTCTATAAAAATTGACTTTGACTGGCGAACTTTTACCGCTGTCAGTCTGACCAGGACGGGGCTGGAGACCCCTGTTCTACAGTGGCTCTTCGGCATGTAAACAGGAATCCAGTACAAATGGTTATGTTTGGTCTCACCTAGGTACAGCTCATGTTCATGGCCTGAACTCGCTGTTTTAGTGCCGCTGAACTTGGGATCGCGGTTCACTCAGCTTACGTAATTCAACAAAGCAAGAAGGCACCAAAAACTGATACATTTCAACTCGAAATCCAAACCCGACGCTACAAGTAAAGCGATCAACCCCGTTATAAAAAAAAACGGTGGCATCGGTTTAAAGCGTGGCTAAATGATGTTCGGACACAAAGAGGGAATGTAAACATAAAATCTTCACATTTTCTTCCACCGTGTACATATACGAGGACGTGGCCTTTGCCGGCATTAGCATGTAGGTCCAATACTCCCTGATGCGGCCGACCGTCCTACAGGCTTACTGAGCCTGTGAAAAAGACTGTAAAACGGCCGCGCTCCAGAGGAAACCGTCTGACTATCCAACACCATCGACTCCAAAAAGGGTATTTCCTTTACCTTGTTCGTTGGAATAGACCTAAGTCTTTTAAAGATGGTTAAGATTTCTGTCTTGTTCGGCTCCGACGCCATCTTGCCACCTTACAGCACAAGGCTCACACAACTACGGGTGCCTGGGTGGATCAAACAGTACGCTCTCGGCGTGACTTCAGATCCGCTCTCAAAAGTGGGGAAATGAATAGGAAAACATTTTCCTACTCCATTGTTTGCTTCCAGCCTTATCTGGGTTTGGACTTTACAGGAAATCCCAACTAATTAGGACACCCAAAGTGAAAATCGATAATACGAATTAATAATTATTTCCATTTCTACAGCGCATTTCATCCCAAAAAGCCTTACATATAGGAGTGAACCCACTTTATAAAACGTTGAAGTACACCCGCGACCTGGGGGATGTGTGGCAAAAGGTGTGGCAGAAAGTAATTGTACTAAATAAATTATAAAGATCCATTCTGCGAGTGGTGACTTTATTTCAGCCCCCAAAACTTAAACATGTATGATGTCTCTTTGCAGAGGATTTGCAGTATTAAGATTACTGGGGATGAAACTTGATTCTCAGATCCCACAGAGTTAAAGCTGTGCCGAAGGAATTAATTTGCACAGGTGAAGAGCAGCTCATAGCATTAGGAAACAGGAAACTCTTTGAGTTGGAAACCACTTTTCTAGGGATAGGATCTCCTGAATTTGACCACAAGGTGGCACTTGTTCCCCCAGCAGAATACAGGTTGCAGATCCATCCGACCAAAATCCAATGGTCTTCCAGTGTGTGTAAAACCGTTTTAAGGTCAGGCCAGGGTTAGGACGAGGATTACTGTAAAGAAGGAGAGTTCTTTTGTTGACGAATTGTGAATGTGCAAATTGAATTTTTGTGACTTAAAAGCAGGTTAAGGGCCCATTCTGTGATGTTAAGAACATAGGAAAGGTTCAACAAGAGCATGCCCATCACCCAGTGTAGTAATTTCCGGCACTGAAATGAGAATGCATCTGCAGTCAAAGTCAAATCACTTATGCTTGTTTCTGATTAAAGTAATATGTGAAACACTTTCACATCAGTATTCATATAACAAACAGATGTTTTTCATTTATGCATGACAGCTTTCCCACCTTGTTAAAATCAAGAGCTTAAAAGATTGTTTTCTCCCATGCTTAAAAGTAATACAGATTTAAGCTGTGTACAAGAATGTTTGATCAAATACGGCTACATACGGCTACAAGGAGTTTTTTTAAGTTATTACAAATCTTCATTACTTCACATTTTGAAGGTAACTTTTGTCCCCCTCCGTGAAAGGTGGCTTCGGCTTTACTTACTTGAATGCCATATAATAACTCTCTGTGGTCATTAAAAATCCCAGGGTGTTTCTCGAAAAGAGTAGGGGTGTAACCCCAGCATTCTGGCCAAATTTCCCCATCGGCCTTTATCAATCATGGCCTCCTAACAATCCCCCTCTGTGAATTGGCTTCATTACTCTGCTCTTCTCCCCACTGATAGCTGGTGTGTGGTGAGCGTTCTGGCGCACTATGGCTGCCATCGCATCATCCAGGTGGATGCTGCACATTGGTGGGGGTGGAGGGGAGTCCCCATTACCTGTAAAGCGCTTTGAGTGGAGTGTCCAGAAAAAGTGCTATACAAGTGTAAGCAATTATTATATAAAACCTTAAAGATTTTACAGTAAGCAAATACAGTAAAACAACCATATACACAAAAGTACTTCCCTGGGGAACAGACGGCTTTGGGCTTTGTAACCTCTCTACACTAGGTGTGTGGTTTGTGCCTGTTAGTGCCCAACACCCTTCTTTCTCCACAGCTCCAGCTGGCATGTTCATTTGCCTGTAAACTCTCTTCTCCAGGCAGACGTTTGTTTCTGCAGACATTGGGGATAATGGCCTTCAGTCACATCTCGCATGTGATCAGTCCAGCAGATTGGCATCCCCAGCTCCACAGTATCTAAGGTGGTTTCCCCAAATAAAAGCAAATGTGTACCCGTATCCTTCATTCCTCCATTAAAAATAACAGGACATACAGGAGGACAGTGTTTTCAAGTCAATAAATCCACCACCGGATAAAACCTCGGGCATTTTCCATGTAAGCCTTTCTTGTTTAAATTAGCATGGCTATAGTTATTAAATATTTATTTTCCATGTACCCTGAAGGACATTTTCCCCAGGCAGAAGCATATGCATTTGGTAGCAGAATCAGAATAAGTTTTATAATCACAAGTTTTTCAGCTGATGTGCTTGAGCTACTATAAAAAAAAAAAAGAACAGAGGTCTTATAGGGCTGAGCTGGTCATGTCCCAACAACTTCCTTTCTCCTTTTAAAAAGCTCTGCAATCTTTTTCATTCCTCTGCTGAATGGGATTTGGTACTTCACGTCTGCCAATTTTAAGCGGAAACATAAAATCTCTTGTTTTCCACAAGTAGGCTATTGGCATTATGCATTTAAAACGCTTTATGCGAGAGTGCTGAACAGACAACTTTTAACATGACCTTTCATTTTAAGGAGTCCTAATCCACTGCTTCTAAACACAACGAAACCCTCCCTCACAGGCCTGGCATTAAGAAACTACAAAAAACATTGTGGAAAGCACTGCTGTGTTATAAAGAAAATGACACAGACGACAATAAAACAAAACACTTTTCAGCACCATCTTAATTGTAATTTGTTTATTTAAGATTTGTACATAGATTAGATCAAAGAAGGTTACAGCAGTGTTGTGAAGTCGGGTTTACAGCAGGATGATGCAGAAGTACAGATCTGTGCAGCAACTTACCCAGAGTCCCTTGTACTCCAGCATGAATGGTGGTCCTTCCTCTCCTTCAATAATAACTTAAACCTGCATTAGTGGGCTAAGTCCTGCAATTTACATACCTAAAACATCCCTACTTTGGTCAGGTTTTAGTCTCTGTCCAACTGGATGAGTTAATTTTTTTAAGCTTTTTTTGTTTTTTAAGAGTAACAAAAAATAAATTAAAAAGAAGAATGGAAGGAAACGATAAAAAAGCATAAATCAAACAACTAAGAAATCTTTGTCTCCTCCCTCCCAATAAGGTTTCATTTATATTGGTAGGTCAGGCCCAAAAATAGAAACTTGTTACAAGCTCTTCTTATCAATGTTTCTAAAAGGGCTGGAGGAAATTGCAGGCTGGAGAGTTGCACTTACACAGAATGGCCCGCTTAGAGTTAAATAATGAATCCCTTTGAAACCGTTCCAGACTACATGGGAATTAACCCTCAGCGCATGTAAAATGATTAAATTGGAATCTCTATAAAAACAACACAAAAACCCTTGGGTGCACACTCAAATAAGAAATGCACAGAGAGCTCTGTAAACACACCAAGAGAACAGCTGGGTGGTTTGTAGCTAATCTCTTACTTCTAATCCAAGGTTAAACTTTTCACCAGCGTCTAAAGAAAAACACACCAGTCAGTTTCTCTTGTAAGTAAATCTAAATCACTATAAAATTTGTTAGCATAAAAAGGCTCTATTAATACCTAAATTTTAATGGACAGATTTAACCATCTCCCCCTGTCCAAATTTGCTGTTGACATTCAGGGAATGAATACTGGCATCTCTGATATGCAAATATTGCTTTTAGTTAACCCATGATCTCTAAACCTATGGCACAGATTTCAGCGGCCTAGAGATCTGACTTTTTCACATTCCAATAATATCAGGCTGCAATCTCTAACAATGTATTGTGCATTGGATTTCTGGTTATGAATGATCCGATAGCTCTGTTGTTATCTGCGATGTTGTATGCCCAAGGCTGTGTCTAAGCTTACTAACCTTGAAAGTGCCAGCTGCAATCCACAAACGTTGAATGGAAAATTCACTGCAGTGGATGTCTACAAGTACTGGCTTCACTGGGATCTTTCAAAGGCACTATTCTCGGCGCTTCTCTAGTAAGGATCACCACCCTCCCTGACTCAGATGCCGTTTCCACCTTGTCATAAGTCTCATTTTATACATATATAAAAAATAAAAACACGATATCTTGCTTAGAATTCATCATGGAGCCGCAGAAAACGCACAGCGCCTCCCCGTCAAGCACATGGCCTGCACCTAGCATCAGGGCTGGGACCAGGAATGCAATCCGACGCAACAGAGTCAGGTGTTCTCTCTCGTGGGCCTCCACTTAAAATGGCTGCAGACATCCAGGAAATGGTCATCACGACCCAATGACCTCAACGTAGTTTGCAGGATACAGTCCGATTTGTCCATTGTCCAGCTGGCCTTTACACCAGCCCTGTTCATCCTCTTCCCCCATCTTCATTAACTCTTCTCCTGGAGGGAGGCGACAGTGAGGAGGAGAGACTCATTAACATGAGGGTGGTGGTGGGGAGGGAACCTTCTACTTTGATAATTTCCCCCCCCCCCCCATTAAGAAATAGTCCACAAGAATATGGAAAGTAGAAACCCCAAGAGTGTCACCTAACAGTCTACATGAAGCTGTTCATTTAGCTCTGGATGCCTGTGCCTACATTAACAGAGGGCTAAAGAAACACGAGTCACCCTGGTTCAACCTGTTTCAATGGTCTTATAACCCAGTAGCTGAAAGCTGAAGTAGTCCCCTGAGGTATGGAGTGTAAAAGCATACAGCTCTGGGTCCTGATTCATGGCCATTTCAACAGTTTAAGGAAACTGCCCCATGTTTGTGTTTCCTTCTCAAGTTACCAGAATAAAAGGGCCAGTGTATTGCATGTGGAGAGGGTTTCCACAGAATAAACAAGACTTTAAAAAAAACCCTGCTGATGGCCTACAGCTGCTTCTTAGCTAGGGAACCCACAGACCAATGCTTTGACACTTCATTGACGCAGGTCTGGTTCTGTGTGGAACTCGGGCAGATCTATAAATACAAACACCCAGCTTGGTTTTAAACTAAGCCATTAAATGACGTGTAGCAAAAGTGATTTTTCCCCCTAGAAACCTCCAGAAAACAAGTTCCTCAATCTCCAGTCATTACGATACAGCTCACAGGCAATTAAATACATTTGAATGAACTAGCCTTACTTACCTTTCTTTCCTTCACTGTGATGTTGGTTTGTAAACTTTTGCTAATGTGTGAGGGCACTGTGGCCCAATCAAAGATCTGTCATTGTTTAAATACACATTTTAAAGCACTTACTGAAATAATTATAGATGAAATTGATATATCATAAATGCAGTGTGCCTAATTGTCAAAGTGATTGATATGCTCTAATTAAACTCCCCAACTACAAGATTGAAACTAACAGGAGTCATTCCTTAAATCAAGACTTCTTCAAGACAACCACTGAAAAGTCCCTGTTTTTTCTTTGGAAAAATGGCAGAGGAAAACAAAAAAAAACAATCTTCTTTGTCCACTAAAATGTGCCCACCAATTACAGGCAAAATCTAAAGCAAATAAAATAACTGTTCACAGAGTGGCTCTAAAGCACTGAACACAATGCTCTAAGCTGTCAATTGCATAGCAAGGCTTATCCTTAATAACTTAAGGCCATTTGTGCTGGAAAACAAATGTACAAAACAAATTCCTTATACACAAAAATGCAAACTTAGATATTGTATGATTGTCAAAGGGACAGAAAGAGGCAAAAACAGCAAATAAAAAAAGGTTATCAGCAGAAGAAAGACAGCCATTTGTTCTACATTAGACCAATGGCATGCGGTATTCGTACTGTGTATGACAATAGCAGAGATTAGGTATTTCTATTTCTTTCTTTTAATTAATGCATAAATTAATTATTAACCATCAGTTAATAAAATGTGTCCATGATTTTAATATAAATACAATATATTCCTTGTCTAATGTAACCATTGCAGGTGTTTTAACCCAAATAAACAACACCCCCGTTTTAACACTTACAATGGGGGAAAAAAAGATTAAAACCTATCAGTTATTCTTTTATTACACTCCACTCCTTTTATTACAGCTTGGTGTTCTCTATCCATGTGGCAGAATGCCTGCATTATTTCTGGATTACTATGAATTTTCAATTTTACCATGAATTCAGTTTATACACTGAATTTTGTTAATTGGAGAGAAATCAGAAGCTAAAGAAGAGCTTATTTCTGATTTCAAGACAGTCTAGAATATACATACAGTATGTAGCATAAAGGGGTCTAGTAATATGCAGATTGAAAAAAGCTTTAAAGCAATTATTTATAGCTGTGGTAATGCCTTTAAGCAATTAAATTCTATTCCATCTATTAATAGATATACAGAGCTGGGCATTGTAAGCAATTTAAGAAATGTCTATTTCAGAATTTAAGTTTACTGCAATAACCAATAGCAATGCATTTCCTGGGAGCAGTGGAATGTTTTCTCTTTTTATCAGTTTTCCTTTGGACCATTCCTATCTCCGTTAGTACTATGACCATCAACATTCCAAAATGCACACTGCTAGGCTCCATAATCGATCATAGTGCTGGACTTTAAGGGTGCAATGCAGTTGGTCGGGCAGCCCTGACGTGATTTTTATGACCTCGTGCATGTACCCTGCACTGTGCACTGAAAACGTTGGAACTTGAAACTTGTGACCTCTTTTCTGTTTGAAGTTTCAAGTTCCAACGTTTTCAGTGCACAGTGCAGGGTACATGCACGAGGTCATAAAAATCACGTCAGGGCTGCCCGACCAACTGCATTGCACCCTTAAAGTCCAGCACTATGACTGCTCATGCAGATGACCGGGTTACTGTAGTTATCATGCTCAAAGTTGTGTTTCAGTAGCACTAATAAGCATTAGTAGGTTTTAATACCTGCTTTAAAGCTCAGCTCATCTGACTCCTGCCCCGTGTAATCATACAATGCTTTTACTCGCACTCCTGGTACCTTCATATCCTCCTCCACACCATTAGCAGCAATGAATTTCTTAGGGCTTTCTTCATCCGACCAGTCTGAGGAGTAATCTTTGCCACTTCTATTAAAACAAATTAATAAAGATTAAGCAATAAACCTTAAAACAACATACTGAAATACACTGGAATGCTGTGCATCATATCCCTCTAAAAGGCCATTTCAAGGTGAATGACTGCCTAACAAACCAGTGTCATGTTTCAAAACACACTGCATTCTTCTCCAGTTACTATCATTTCATCGACAGTAAATCACTTGATTATATTCATCTTGCCAAGGAAAATATGCTGGGTAAATGAATGCTAACAGGCTTTTACTTCGATGACTTTAATGCAATTTCTTCCTAAAAAAGAGCCTTCTTCTTGTACAACCTAAGTACGGAACCAAAAAACTTGAAAACAGCTATTTATCTTTTGGAATGCTGGTAATGTAAACTGTTGAGCTCTTTCTCCCTGCAGAAGTCGAGCAGCTGTGTGCAGATGGTATAGATCAGCAGGATCATGTTTGACAACGAGATGCAGGTTTGAAAGTAAAGAGGAGTTACAGAAAAATCCACATATCCAAATAAATGCAGTTCTCGTTCCAGTCCTCGGGGAACCCTCTGTTTTCTGTTCTAACAGGGCCCTAAATCAACAGCGCTAACTGGGGCCTGCAACTGCTCTGCTTGGTGGTTTATTTACTTTTTTACCCCCATTTCTTAGTTTAAAAAAAAAAAGTGCTGCTGACTGAGGACCCAGGTGGAACACAAACAGTGGACAGAGATACTACAGGGATACTCCAGGACCCAGAATGGCCACATTACTAAATAAAAATGCCTTAGGCCTCTCAAATCAACTTACCCTCTTTGCAGTTGTGCACATATGGTGTCACATTTATACATTATTCTGCAGTTAATTGCTTTATCCTCAGTAACAGGTTTTTATGCAACACTCAGAATATCCTGCTTCCTAACCATCTCTCTAGAATTTTGTTACTTAGATCTTCACTAAGGCAAGAGAATGCAGCAAAGAAAACATCAGCTGTATTTAAAGGTTAATCAAGAGTGTACAATTCAACCAAATAAAATTAAGAACAGATGAGTGAACAGGAAAGAGAGCCTCCAGATTAAACCAGGTGCTACAGAATGGACTACCCCAGGAATTGAGCACCAAGAGGAAGGAAAAATAATTTAATTCAAAAGCATGCTTTCAATTTCACTAATGTGACAGTAGCAGAGTGCAAGTGAATCACTTCTGGAATCTAGGGTGTAACAGTATGTTGCAAGCAGGTGATCTGTTAAAGAGAGAAAATCTGTTGAAAGAAAAGAAAATCAAGATATTTACTAACGTTGGCTCAGGTAGATCATTAATGCTCTCATAGTCATCATCCTCTCTGTTTGACCTGCAGAATTAAAAAATTAACCGGGTGCAAAGATTAAGCCATCACAGCGTTGAGGGTGTTCAGAACATCTCTTTACTAGAAACAAAACGGGAGTGTTACCAGCGTACAGCTCTCTCGCAAAATAAATCAAATGCACAGAAACACCTGCAGTTCACAGATTTGGGAAGTAATATCTGAAGAATAAAAAAAATATTGGGGAAAAAAGCATAATTATAGAAGCAAAACAGCCTTGATATAGATACACAGATATATACACACATACAAAATAATTTTGCAAAGGAAATATTTTACCATTATTCTATCCAGCTTCTTGTTTTGATATCCCTAACAGAATTTAAGCTCTGAATAAGGCATTTGAAAACTTTTCTAAAGTTAAATGGCACTGTACACATTGCTCAAAGTAAAAACAAAAATCAGAAACCATTCTGTAAGAGTACAGATTTACTCTACAACACACAGCTTCATATGAAAATAATCTACTCTTAAAACATCACATTTGTGATAGACGTCTCCAGTTTTAATTGAACTCGTATTTCCCTTTCATCGACAGCTGTCCATTAGACAGAAGCAAGGACTTCAGATTACCACCTGCATGTAGCCAATGATACATTATTAAATCCCCAACCCCACTTAAGCAAATTAACACCTTAAATGTTGTAAACCTTTTAACATTACACGTAAACCAAGAATTATCACCATAATACTCCAGTAGTCACAGACTCATTCCATCATTTTGGGCTTGGCTTGTACGTGCTGTCAGCTAATCACCCAAGACTTCAAAAGTAAAAATGAAGACAAAAATCTTACCGTATCAAGCTTACTGTAGCTAAGGAACAACAACAACAACAACAACAACAACAACAACGTGTTCACAACCTTTATTTGGCCCTTGTCACTGAAAACAAAAAGGCCCTTGGGTGGAGTTCTGACATGTAACGTGCCAACAAGGGCGATGTGATGAAACCGAACCCGTTCTGCCCTTACCTGTGAAGCTCCTGTGGAGTGTGAGCCACCTCCTCCCCAGCAGGTACAATGTTGGTAAGAGTTACCACGTCCTCAGCCCTGCTGTTCCGTTCCTTGCGACTTATGGACCGGGTGGCCTCAGGCGACCACTCCTGTCAAAGAGCCCAAACATGTTAGCACTTACAGACATCTATATTTGTCAGTCATTTACAGCACACCAATAGGACAACGGCAACCCAGCACAGTGAATGTTCTAACTTAAATTTAAAAAAAATCTAATATTTAAACTGATCTGTATAAGAAATAATACAACTCTACAGTGTTAACAGACAGGAAAAAAAAACAAATTTCTGTAGTTATGCTTTATAGACTAAAACAAAAGGCCTTTTGTAGCACAGCAGAGTCTGAAGAGGAGTTAAGATACTGCAGAACTAATTTGCTTAAGGAATTTTGCTTGCAAAAAGAATATTCCACTGCAAATAAACTAGGTTATTAAAAAAATGACTCTTTTCTAGTGCTGCCACAGCGGTGAGCACACCAAGACAAAAACAAAACTGTTCAATGTTGGCTGCAGTCAGTGCACGGATTCACAGGTACTTTTAGCAGAGAGATGATCTGCACAGCTTGGCACTGTGGGGAGTAAGACTGCATACCAGAACCCACATGGTAACCATACAAAACAGGGAGCTATTCATGGACATCAAAAACTGGAATTGAATGTAACCTTGGAGCCAAGCTAGAAGGAAGGGTAACTTTTTTTCACCTCAAATTGTGGCCAGTTCATGATCATCCCTGGGCCATGGGTGTTTCGCCACCACCTCAAATCCTCCAGATCGTTCGCTGCCAGAACCGTCTGGCCCAGATCACGATAGAGGGCTCGAACGCTGTTCGTGGAAACAGGCTTTCAATACATTTTCCTGTAAATTATAAGCCATTTCGAAATGACCTAGCTTGTGGTAAGAGCTATGCTTTCTACAATGTTTAACTAGTCTGTAATAACACCTTAACTGTGCATTATATTTATTAACCAAGATACAACACCCAAACTAGTGTCACACTGATCCTTAATACTTTAAGTGAAACAGGGTGCACAATCCTTTATTTGTTGTGACCAAAAACTCTGCATGGTCATTTTCTTTCTGGGGCATTATTTCACTCCTGAATTTCTGTTCAGTTAACCCTTGTGCTGCTAACAGATGATGCTCACCTACAACTGAACAGTAATCATACAAGCATAATTTTAAATATAAACTTGCTTGTAGGGGAATAAAAGTCTTTTGATCAGACTAGCACACCCAAAATATAGGAAGGATGTTTTGATAATCTCCCACCCTTTCTGAAACAAAAATAAATTGCAACAACTCTAAATACTGAGAGTTGCAGACACCCTTTCAAAACCAATTACTGCCAGAAAAATCCAGTGGTCAAAAGAAATAATGAAACCCACATATTAACCATGGTTGAGTGATTGACTCCACTCAACTAAGTTTAGCCATATACACCAAATTCCAGGCCTAATAATTAAAGCTTTTAAAGGAGCTTTGAGTTAATGGTCCACACAGGGGTTTAATATTAACATACTGTAAGCAAATATTTCATGATTCTATAAACAAATACTGAAAAGAGGTCTTAGGAAAACATAACTGAAAATCTCAGAGCCTTTAAAATTTGATAAGTTATTTTCCATAATGTTTCTTGATCTTCTTGAGTGAATTACTTCTAGTTAGGGGTCCCAGGGTATCCCAGGTAATATCAAAGGAACGTTTCCGCAGGTCCTTCCTCCCGGACTGTTAGCCCTTCATCTGCTCATCTATGGACAGCGTGTTGCACTCTTGTACTTTTTGGACACTGCATGAATGTACTGTTTATACTATGATACTTTCAATCCGTATATACCCATGCACATTTTGCACATATTTTATTGTTTTACAGTGGCTATGAGCATATTTTGCAAACACCTAACTCTATATATTTTATTGTGTATTGCTGTACTTATTTTATTTTAATTTTTAGTCTATTCTGATGTCTGTTTTTGCTTGTCTTGGGCTGGGCTACTGTAACACCTCAATTTCCCTTCGGGATCAATAAAGCCTTATCTATCCATCCATTTCAAACATCTGAATAGCCTGAGGGATCTAGTTTGCAATGTCTTACCTTTTGATCGTATGCAATACTATAGCACGTTTCCAAGATCCACTAACAAACAGATATGTCAGGGATGTTCAAAGAAAGATACTCAAAGCTTCTACATTTGACACCAAGTGCTGGGATGAAAGGCAAAGCCTTTTCCAGGACTCGTCAAGGCAGTCTGGAAGCAGAGATGATTACCTTTCCATGGTGGAGAGGTCGAGGTGCTTGTGGATGTCAAGCAGGATGTCCTTGAAGAAGCGCAGTCGCTTCTTCTCGGCCTCCTGGGTGATCTCGAAGACCTGCTCCATGTCCTCCATGTAGCGGGGGTTGCACCTGTTCAGTTCCTCCAGGGCTTTCTCATAACGGTCCTTGGCCTGCAAGGGGGAATTAAAGCTCATCTCAGAACACAGTTAAATTCATACCTCGTTTCAGACTTTACCTTCTCTTGCATCACTGCTTAAGGCCTATGTGGTCCAATGACTGACTTTCTCCCCCCCCACTTTCTAATAATTCAAATTGCATAGGTCTAGGACCATAAAAATTACTTCTCTATATCAGAAAAGTAGTATTATTCTTTCACTCAGTGGCTCAGATAGTACAATCTGCAAGGCATATCATGTATCAGTCTTATATTATACTTGGGTATCGGCAAACCCCTCCCATCTGTAGTGAAGATTGTAATTTAATCATAACCAACCAGGTTTACTATAATCCCAGATGCATCAATTCGACATCACTCACATGATCCTGTGATCATGCAAGTCTACCAGGCACAGGATTCCCAGATTCAGAGCCTTCTCCGGCTCAGTGTAGAGGTTACTAAATGCACAGCGTGAAAGAGAAGGGAGCCGAGCACATAACTGTGGTATGCAGGGCAAGCGATTCTCCTTCCAGCACGCCCACCTTCTCAGCCTCCTGGCTGCACTTCTCCACGCGGTCCTGCAGCTTGCGGACCTGCTCCTGCGAGACGGAGGGGTCGGCCTTGGCGTGCGTCTCCCGCGTCACCGCGGTGCGCTCCTCCTTCCGCGCCTGATGGTAGCTCTTCTTGGCCGTCTCCACCTTGGGGGGGCGAGCGCGAGCCGATTAAACGCCGCGCTGCAGCGACTGCCTCGCCTTCAGGACCACCTGCTAGCCAAGGCGCACGGACCAGAAGAGGCCGCGCGCAAACCGGGTACGATATTCCGTTGGTATAACATGACGAGGGCACGGGATGCCATGGGAATAACGTGACAAGCACCGACGTTCAAACTGCCCGACGTTCATTAAACAAAACTAAATGACACTGCAAAGTTAAAGAAAAATGTCAGGCTCCCTGCAAAATTAACAGAAACAGGGGAAATTATGTGTAAACGCATTTTCGGGGATCTGGAACAACTGAGCAAGGCGCTCTGTTGGAAAGGACACACGGCAGGATTGGTCAAAAGGCTGCAGCATGAGCTTTTGGAAATGCTTAACAGCCAGCAATCCAGCAAACCACACAAGCCCTAGCTTCCTCCTATCACCTCTGACCTTGGCTATGTCATATTATTTTTTAAAAAATATGAAACTCAGCTGTGAACTAGACCTCTTCAAGCACCAGATCTTTACAGGAGAAGTTCAGGTTTAAGTACCAGTTCCCGTGTTCAAAGGAGACTTACTTCCTTTAGTTTCTTGACCCAGGGCTTTTGGGCTTTGCGGAACCCGTCCTCGGCCTCCTTGGTCTCCTTGAAGCCCCCAATCATCTGCTTGTGGAAGGCGTCCTTCTGCCAATTGCGCACCTTCTCGCTGTCCTCCACCGCCAGCTGGGTCCTCAGTTCCATGTGGATCTCGCTCAGCCGGTCAGCTGCGTTCATGAAGGCGTGCCAGGCCTTCTCCAGGGTGCCATACTGAGGCCCTGAAAGCGCCAGAGAAGGGAAGGGTTTGCAGTTCACTGAGGTGCGTTCATGGACAAAAAACTTGTAAAGAAAAGCTGAAAATCTGCCCTTTTGACTGAATTCTGCAATTATCACCTAAATCCAGCATTACAACGTGCCGCTTTGACTCCTTCATCTGTACTTAAGACACTACCCAGCTTGAGTGGAAACGCTTGCTAAGTCAAACTCTCTACTCCTTCCCCGTGATAGTTGTCTGAACCCGACTAGTATTTCTCACTTGAACATACCCCAGCCAAAAACCAAAACAGATTCTTAAAGTTGGTCCCATTTTCACCTCCAGTCCTGCCCTGTACATGCACAGAGCTCCCTTCCAGAACTGAAATTTCTAAGTCCTCCTTATATTATTGAAATTTTAAAAAGTCAGTAGTATGTGGCAACTGGACATCAATACTAAACATCTGAATTAATTTGCTCAGTTAAGTCAGTCAAGTTGGAATTTGATCACATTTCTTATACATCTGCACTAGCAGTAGATTAGTAAACGCTGATGAATGAATGCAGATCACACCAGACAAAATGTGTATGACAATTAATCAACACATTTGCATTGTAGAGTCATTCAAAATCCAGCATTAAAATCTCTTTTTTCTACAGTTGTTTAAATTCATGGTGATTCAATCAACTATTTTGATCACCACTTGCAGAGACTCGTGCTTCAGACCCACCTTTCTCTACCACAGTCCTCCACTTCCTGGACCAGTCTGTGAGCTGCTGAGCATACGCCTTCTCAATTTTCGCTCGCTCCTGAAAGCAGCTGACCAGCTCGTTGCACAGCTTGTGGCCGTCATCGATCCGCTTGACTGTCCTTTTATAATTCCCTGGCTGTGGGTGGGAGGGTAAAACGTCAGAGCTCCCTCAATGCAAAAGAGAAGGTCTCAGACATGTCCCACAGCCACCCTGGCCTGCTGACCAGCAAGCAGGAAACTTTTAAACACACTGTGAATAAAGAGTTAACCTGGATGTCATGCAGGATCTATCGTGAAACAGAACATTACAAGGTCAAAAAACAGCAGTCTTCTGTGGTATTTCAATTTAATTTTCATTTTAAATAGTTACTACATTACGAAATACACATAAACTGTATCACTTATTCCAAGTGAGGGCCACCTTTAATATCTGAGCATGGCTACACTTAACTGCCAATTTGAATTTAGGATGTATGAAGATCTTAGCAATTGATGGAGGTCTTACAGTATGTGGGAACAGCAGACTGGACTGGAAAAGTTAGAGGAAAAGTGCATGAAGCCCATGAAAATTCCAGACAGCGGGATTTATGTCGATGCCTTATGGTTGCTCCATCTGCACAATGAAGGGCCTTTCTCAGCATTCTCACCCAAGCTGCACTGTGTTTGGACTGCAAGGTTAGGTCTATTCCTGCCTGAACCAACACCACAGAGGAGAGGGAGGCAATAGCCAACTCTGGCTGCCACATCCTTACCTCCCAGAAGCTCTCACTGCTGCCTATATCCCTCAGATCCCCATCGGAAGACATCGTGGGGTTATCCTTGCAGCACGGAATGTTTGCAGCTTTCTGTCAACCTGGGAAACGCAGAGGGGGGGGAAAAAAAACCAAGAGGTGAGCATTTCCCACATGAGTGAGCAGTGCAAATATTAGTAGTGCAGTGAGGTTCGCAACAAAGGTGTGTACACTTTAAGAACTCCTGCTTTCTTCAAGAGTTATGAAGACAACTTGGCAATACAACTGCCACGGAGGTAAGGACTTGGCCAACTGCTCCCAAATGAATAAAGTCAGTTTTGCAAAATGTGGGAGTTCACATTACTTCCTAGGCCTGGAAACATTATAGGCACTTAGCATACGTAAAAATGAACACATTCCAAACTCAATAGCAAGAAAAAAAAATGAAAAAGTTAAGAGTTTAATCATGTATTTGATCATCTCTGGAGCTCGATAATGATATTTTTTACATACCCGCAGTATCATCTGTATCCCCCTGAATTACCAGGTCAGAGCTTAATGGCTGTTCCCTCAATTAGGCAGACTGCATCAATGAACGAGACACTCCTCGTTCATTTTTTCTTATTGCCGAGTTATTCAAGTCCTCCCCCCTCCATTTGCTTTGAGATCATATAAAGATGTTGCTGGTTCTCCTCAGAGTGATCCAGGAATGGCACTAGTCTGCACAGGCAGGCTCGCTGAGAAAGGCACCACTCCCTCAAGAAAAACCAACAAGCTCTGCGCAGGCACTTTGCATGCAGGATCAATGACAGAAAAACGAGTTTTCCAAAGAAGAGGTGGGGCACTAGAGCTGCAAGGCTGCAGGAGAACGATATCACCCTGTCAAACCTGTCTATAATAATTAAAAAATCTCCTACAGAATGACTCACTCTGCAGAGTTTTCATTGGATAAAAATCTGTATAAGAACCATTCTCTGCTCCCCAACACACTGTCTGACATTAAACAAGTGGGGCTTCAATGTTTTCACATAAACAATGCAGTTACTAAATGATCTGTTCCCCTCTTCCCAAGAAACACATGCATGTAAAATGTCCCTCACTGGCTTACTGCTATTCTAAGCTTATTATTTTTCTACCTCCATCCTACTCAGTCCCTGGCTCCCCGCAACCCTTCCCCATCAAACGACGGCCGCAGGGGGCAGGACACCCCCAGACGGGATGCCAGTCCATCTCGAAGGCACGCACAGCCAGACACGCACTTGCACCAGGGCCAGTTTGAACCTACTAGTGTGTGCTGGGACTGTGGGAGGAAACCCACACGAACACCGGGAGAACATACAGACTCCACACAGATACACACTCCCGGGTCTGGAATCGAACTTGGGGCTCCAGTTATAAAAGGCAGGGATGCTGTGGCCCTGGGCCACCGTGCCGCTCCCCTTCTCCAAGAACTTCCTCATCAGAATCAAAATAACTTCAGCACCCCACCTCGTGTTGCTGGGACAGAGTCTCAGACTTTATTCTTCTTCTCCGTTTTCAAAATGCACAATCGAGGCAAGGTCACCTCTGCCAGGGGCGACAATGTTTGGATAACAAGGACAGCAGTGTGCACAGACAGTTTCAGAAGACTTTCTATCTGGGAAATGCTTTTGAACGGTTTTAATCGAGGGGTCTGAAGCTCAGTTCTTGGAGGGCCTAGAGTCGGCTGGTTTTAGTTCCAACCCGAGCAGCCCAAAAAATTCACTTAATGATACTTACACAGCAGTACCATGTTTCATTGGGTCTTTTACAGACCTGATCACTCAAAACACTCACTTCATTAAAGTTACACAGAAAGCACCTTGGAGCGTGGTTAGAAGTAGAACAGGTCTGCAGTTCATTAAAACAAAATTCAGACCAACTGTGTATGCGTGAGCCCAGCTGGAACAAAACCCAGGCCCTTCCAGAGTTTTTTCGCCTCTGGAAAAAACTTCTAAAACACCTGAATTTTCAGTTTACTGCCTTTAAATTTTAATAAATAAACCTTTCTTTATAAAAAAATGTTATTCACTTTACATGTACTGCACAATTACCCCCTTCCTAACACTTTTGGCATAAAATAGTCTCCCTTTTAAGAGGGGAATAATACTTTACATGGATTTAGTTAGCTTTTATTTAAAAAAAATACAGTAATTTCCCCTAATTTGCCTTACCGGGAAAATAAAAACGCAATATATTCTACTCTTTATAAAGAAATGCACACCCTGCCCTCAGTAGATGGAAAGTATGCAGGGTAGGGCATTTCCCACAAATGTGTTAATAAGAGACTTTCTGTAACAGACTCGTTTAGTCTGCTAGTGCTAATTGAAATGCTCTTACCGTTACCAACGAAACAATGAGATGATGAAGTAAACAGCTTTAATTTTTTTTAATTTAAGTAAACGTTAATTCTCAGATCTAAACCTTCTTTCAAGATTCTAAAAAGAATCCTACAGTGTAGAATACGAACGATCGGCCACATGAACAACCACAGACAGTGCTCAGTGCTGTATTGAATGCTGGAGATTCAAATTCTTCTGTGGTGTTAATATTCCAACTTTCTGAATAAACAGGAAAATGTTTTTATCCTATAATAATCTAATTTTAAAACAGGAAAATGTTCAGACGGAGACAACCCCTGTAGCAGCTCTAATGTTTGGCCAGTCAAGACCGACTGGAGGCCCGAGTTAAACTGGTCATGCTATAGCTCCGTCAGTCTTCTCCTACAGTCAACAGCAGGAAGATCCAACCTTCACCTGATTCTTTGGAAATCGACAACAAAACAGTCTTTTTCCCCCCATCTACTTTTTCCCACGGGAAGCAGCCATTCTAGGCAAATTAGAATTCATCTTCTCTCGTAAAAACCCGAGAGCTGACTGAAAGCGGCGTTCTAAGGATGACTGTAACATGATGCAACACAATTCACAAATCTGCAAAGTGCTTTATGACCAGATCAGCTGAGAGGACAGTGAATCAGAATTTCTGGCAAAGATTCTGTTGAGGCGTGTGCAGCGGTTTCCTCTGAAACTCGCACTGAAATAGACAAGTATTTCTTATAGGAACAGCAATTCCACGTATATATAGGTAGCCAGCGGGAAGCGATTGGCTCGTGTGGAATGACACGGGTATGCAGTGTGCGTAATCTCATGTCGAAGGGCAAGCTGCAGGAGCTCCACAGCACGCAGAGAAGAGGGGAAGTGATGGGACATGTACAATTCGAATGTAAGTCAGCGCACACCTCCAGCATTCTTAGGAGAGTACATAATGTTGCTCAAGGACTTAATTAATCCCACTGAGATGTATAATCAGAACGATCCAATCATTCTGAATTGAATGAATGATGCAATAAATCTACGAAAAGAAAAATCCATTCGATATCCTGGACAACCAAAGCTTAGTATTTTTCAAGGCAACTCCACCGGTTCCCGTTTCATCACAGAGCGCGGGACATACTGTTCACATACTATTACTATAGTATTCGCATACTGTACCTGCCCATGCAAATACATCAGTTCAAAAGCATTGCGTTACGAAACCGAACACTTCAGCACCAAAAGAAGTCACCTCCAAGCAGGCCAAGGCGCACCATACCTGAAAGATTCCAAGTGGAAGACAACCCAAAATCTGAATCCCCAGGACTCAGTTTACATGTTTACTTCAGATCCCACAACAGTTTACAAGAGCAGGTCTTTATCTGGGCCGGTTTTCAGGTCAAGATGGTAGATCCAAATACACCAGGCCGAACCGCAGGGCCAGACTGCTAAAGGCTGTATACCAGCCCTGAGCCCTTGCCTCAGGCAAGCATGGCTATCGCTTTAGGGCAAGTTAAGATCCTGCTAACCAGTCTAGACCTGACAGGGAAATCCTCTTATTCACTGCTTACCTCTTTATCAGAGCTCCCAGAAGCCTTTTCAGTACCGTCACCAATCACCACAAAGTATTATTCCTCTCAGACGACATTAAAATTAAACGAGCAATGAAAACGTGCAAACAAACTCACAACAATTAAGGCAGTTGATATACATCTTCTCTGTGTACAAATTAAAATCCAGGACTGGCGTTTGAAAAGGCCCTTCAATCTACACTGCCGAGGACAACAAAAACCACTCAGCAGGACCAGTTTCACATTCTGTTCCACGATAGAACAAGTCTGTGGGCAAGAGAGAGTCCATTTACATAAACTGCGTGAGCTCTCAATATGAAACGAATTGTTTCCTGTTGTCTACTTTTGTAAATTCTTCAGGTTTTTTTTTTAGACATGGAAAATGCCCCAACCTTTTCACTTGCCTGCAAAATGTGTCCTCTTTGGTGATCTGGTTAGACATTCCACAAATGGGCTTGACAGGCCCTGGAGACACTGCAGTCATTTCTTTGAAAAAGGTGCCCCAAAAGGAAAGGATTACATGACCCCGGGATACATAATCAAGAAATCTACTGACATTTTCAAGAATACGGAGTGCAAAGTGCGGCTCATTACGGCAGAGCACATGGCTTCTGTATCAAACAGCAAAACATTCGAAAGTCATTAGACGAGCTTGAGCCAATCTTAGATGTGGGTTTAAAAACAAGACTTGCGGCATGTGGGACTGGTTTATATAAAGCCATCCACAGCACAAACACACCCACCAATCAAAACCCAAGCTGACAGTCCAAACAGTATTGCAAAAAAAACAAAAGGCGACTAGAAAGATACTTATTGGTAGTCTTAGAGGTCGCCTTAGTAATAAACCAATACTAAGGAACCTGCTCAAATCTTCCCTGAAGCATAAGCCAAAAGACTGCATACAGGATGTGTCAGTAAAAGCATTTCAAACTATTTCAGCATGGTAATAGGTTGTCTTTGATCAAAAAAAGTGGATTACTGTGCACTTTTTGGTGACAAGGAAATTGCATTCAGACCATACATTCAGTAATCAAAGTGAGCCATTACTTTAGAGTGATCTGTGCTGGAACTGTTGAGCAGGCATGCAAGATTGACAGTCTAAGCTGTACAATGATTATACGAGAGCACCAGATTTAAGGAAGCAGGAATGTTTTTTTACAGCATGTCATTTCCAACCATAAAGATATAAGATTTCCCACAATAACCAAGATTCAAGATAACCAATTCCAATACAAAAGAGACTTTTATAAGCCATGATAGAATTAAACTATTTCAACCACTATCTTTGTCTCAATACTAGGCTACATTTTGACCGAGACTGACTGAACATGTCACAAACTGCAGATTATTCCAGTTGCTTCTCTTCGTGTACTTAAGATTTCAAACTTCTGTCCAGACTAAAACAGTGTGTGAAGAGTTGCAAGACATTACTGTACCATTTCTACATGTTAATAATCCATAGCAATGCAGTTTTGTTTGATGTGGCTTAAACACTTGTTGTGTGATCATTCTGCTTCCACAAGCTGGCAATTAGGCAAAAGTTTCCCAGGGCAAGTGTAAGAGACATTATTCCAGTATTGTGGGTCAGACATTAATGTAAAAGTATTTTTTTAACAGAAAATAATCAGATTTTTATATTCTTGAATGTTTATTATGTGCACAGTACAACATTTTTTAAATATAACCACAGCTTTTTGAACAGGGTTTGCAAACCCTTTACACTAAAGCAAAGGCTACTGGCAACATTTAAAAACAAATATTTTAGCACCTTACCTAAAACAAAACTGAAAAATTATTTATAAATAAAGGACTCGGTAAAGACTCACACTTACCCCAGCTGTAGCAAAAGAAGACACAATGTCACAGTTTCTTTCGGGATCTCAGCTTGCTGTCTGCTCCTGGAACAAGACTGGAACAGAAGGACCGGACTGTAAGGGAGAAAGGAGACTCGCGTCAAGAGGCAGCCTGGCGAGCACAGGGGCCGAGCCAAACAGCAGGGAAATATATCTGCACGGTGGGCCAAGAGGTGGCAGATTCTGAATCCTGCGGCGAAATGCCACAAGAAGCAGCCCTTGCTAAAATCCTAAGGCGCGTGTCGGAAAACCGAGCCAACAGGCGTGAGCACCAACAGAAACGAAAATGGAAACACCATTCCATCACAGCGAGAGGCCACAGGAAAATTCAGATGGTGTGGGCAACCCCCGCTGAAGGGAAACCGTAGCTTCAGATACTGGAAATTTTTGCTTTCACCTTTGGACACGTTACTTAGGTGGAAATGAGTCGAGGCAAGCCTGGCAGAGACCGTTTGTGCAGTTACCCTCTTCCGTCACACACTGAGAACACGGTCCTTTCCCAGCACATTTTATTTCGGCTAGTGACAACACGGTTTCAATTTCTTACTAAGTTCCATGCTCATCTCCTCCACATTTCCAAAAAACTCCTCTATCCTGAAAAACGCCTGCCATGCCAACAAAGAAAGCTTCACATTTTCGGTCACGTCATAACTGAACATGCCGCAGTGAGGCACGAGAACTAGTGGGACATTTGTTTTACAGACAAACGAACTGCATGCTCACTGTCACCTCAAGTTAACGAAAAAGGATGATATCACACAGCAGAGACATTCCAGCCCATATCAGGTTCAGACACGCAGGGAAACCCACATGAGACTGATCCACTTCAGCAGTGCACTCCCTAATCTGAGGCAACAGCCGTTGGCAGGTCAGAGGTCAACACGCACAATGGGATTCTCTAAATACATGCGTGTACCAATGAAACATCTGTACTGGATGCTTGGGAAAAGACCGTAGTCATGGAGCTTGCACTGGATTTAAATGTAATTATTTCTATTTGACATTTCTGCACTTTGCAGCATTTGTGCAAAAACATCAGCCAACAATTCACCTTGTAGCTTGCGGTTTAGACCAGAGAGGGTGGGAAGTACAAAAAAAAAAATGAAATACGGGCTGTTTCACAGTGCCCAACAAACCCCCGCACGACCAAAGATAATTAGTGCAATGCCTGCACTGAAGGGGTGAGGGGCTGACAAACTGGCCTGTTTGGATATCACTAAAAGGACTGTTTCAAATTCATGTGCTGAAAATGTAATTAGGCCTCACAGCC